AAGTTATAAGAGAAAATACATTTACAGTACTATGCTGTATTTATCCCCCCCCCAAATCTGTGTATAAATGGGCCCACACAGTTCAAACCCATATTGTTCAAAAGTCAATTTATATGGAAGAAGTTTTGAGTGTTTCTGGGCCCCAAAATAACCTCTTAGGCTTTTCAGATACCTTAAGACACGTCTCGCTAATGGATGCACAAAGTAAATTGAGATAAAGCACATATGTTCAAAGAAAGAGTTCATAACTATGGTGGTCGGATGCTGAGATGCCGAATGTAGTTCCCAGGGAAGGAGTTTGATAGCGACACCCTCGCTGCTGGGCTCTGTGCTGCCTCTACAACAGCTCATTGCAAAACCAAAGCTGAATGCTATTTTTGCTTTTCATCTCTTCCATAAAAATGAAAATCCTCTTCAGTTAGTGAAAACAAGTACTAATGTAGGTCTTTCAAAAAAGCTAAATGGCCTGGGGGCACCTGGGTGGCTCAGTCAGTTAAGCAGGTGACTTCAGCTCAGATTCATAAGCTCCAGCCCCGCATCGGGCTCTGTGCTGACAGCTCGGAGCCTGGAGCCTGCTTCGGATTCTGTGTCTCCCTCTCCCTCTGCCTCTCCCCAGCTCACACTCTGTCTCTCTCTGTTTCTCAAAAAATTAATAAGTGTTAAAAAAAAAAAGCTAAGTGACCTGATAACAACATTCAAAAAGCAGAGGACATCTGTATATGATTTCAGATACAGTATTTGCTTCCATTCTATGGGGTGCCTTTTCACTCACTGAATAATGCTCTTTCATGCACAAAAGTTTTTCATTTTGATGAAGCCTTATTTATCTATTTTTTCTTTGGTTGTTGGTGCTTTTGGTGTCATATTAAAGGACCCACTTGCCAAATTCAAGGTCCTAAAGATTTGCCCTTATGTCTTCCTTCTAAGAGTTTTATAGCTTCGGCTTTTTAATTTAAGTCTTTGATTTATTTTGAGATAATGTTTATATATACAGTGAATTAAGTGTCTACTTTTATTCTCTTATTTTATTTTATTTATTTATTTATTTTTTTTTAAATTTTTTTAATGTTTTATTTATTTCTAGGAGAGAGAGACAGCGTGAGCAGGGGAGGGTCAGAGAGAGAGGGAGTCACAGACTGAAACAGGCTCCAGGCTCTGAGCTGGCAGTCAGCACAGAGCCCGACGCGGGGCTCAAACCCACGAACCGCGAGATCATGACCCAAGCGAAAGTCGGACGCTTAACCGACTAAGCCACCCAGGCGCCCCTTTATTTTTTATTTCAGAGAGAGAGAGGGTTAGGGAGAGAGAGAGAGGGAGAGGGAGAGAGAGAGGGAGAGAGAGAGAGAGAGAGAGAAAGAAACAGCACATGTGAAAGCAAGGGAGAGGGGCAGAGGGAGAGACAGAGAATCTCAAGTAGGCTCTATGCTTGGCGTGGAGCCCAACGCAGGGCTCAATCCCACGACCCTGAGATCATGACCTGAACTGAAATCAAGAGTCGGATGCTTAACCATCTGAGCCTCCCCTACTCCCTCCCCCTACTTTCATTCTTTTACATGTAGATATTCACTTGTTCCAGCCCATTTGTTAAAGTGAGCCGTCTTCCCCCCACTTACCGGTCTTGATACCCTTATTGAAAATCAATCTTCTTTAAATTTTTTTTCAATAAAGCTTTATTGCTTTCTGTGAAGAGTCCTTGCATGTATTTGTTAGGTATATTTTATTTTTAAATTTTCAATGTGGAAAATTTCAAATATATACAAAACCACATAGGTGTACTCATCACTCATTCTCAACAGCTCATGGTCAATCCTGTTACATCTTATTCTTACACAATGCTCCACCTCCATATTGTCTTTGTAAGTCAAATTTAGTGAAGCACACATGACATACAGTAAAATTTACCCTTTTTATAATTCAATAAGATGTGACCAATGTATACACTCATGTAAGCCGGCATATTCAAGATACAGAATATCTCCAACACCCTGCAAGTTTATGACCCCTTTGTAGCCAAATTCCTTCCTTCCAATCCCAGCTTCCTGGAAAAGACTGATTAGATTTCTGTCCCTATAGTTTTTTCTCTTCTAGTACTGGCCCTCAATTTATAAAATTGTCAATTTTTAACAAACCAGCATTTTAGGCTGCAGACATTATGTTTGGAGTCTCTCATGTTTTCAAGGCTACAATAGCTAGGTTAGGCTGGAGCTCTGGCCACAGCCCTTCTGCTTGAGGGAAAGTTAACAAGTGACCCTCTCCCCATCAGGCTGGCTGTAAGGTGCTTGCCAGGGGTGGTGGGGAAATGCGTGTTTTTTATATGACATTCATAGGACAAGGGAAGGGAAGAGAGAGAAAGAAGTGTCACCTTGGGAGCCATAGCTTCTTTTTAGCCAGGCTTAGCTAATTTGAGTCACATATTTCCCTGAGATCGATAACTGTTGCCAGGAAAACACCCTGTGTAGATTGGCCTAAACCAAACAGGATCATCCTCTAGTGGGAGATGGGGTGGAGGCCTGACCGAGTCTGGGTTCCTGGGTCGGCAGATAGTAGGTCGGGGGTCAGCAGTGTGTTCAGGGTAGGAGTCATTTCATTTGCACAGAGCTGCACACAAGCATGTTCAAGTGTACACAGGTAAAGAGAGATGTAGAGAGGGATGTTCACCCAAACTGGCTAATAATGGTTATCTTTGATTAGTTGTTTCAACTCTTTACAATGAATACATTTACATTATATACAAAAAAATATGGCCATTTTACAGGCCATCAGTCACCTCTTAGAATAGAAATAGAATAATTGTGGGGCGCCTGGGTGGCTTAGTCGGTTGAGCGTCCGACTTTCGCTTGGGTCATGATCTCGCGGTTCGTGGGTTCGAGCCCCGCGTCGGGCTCTGTGCTGACTGCCAGCTCAGAGCCTGGAGCCTGTTTCAGTCTGTGGCTCCCTCTCTCTCTGACCCTCCCCTGCTCACGCTGTCTCTCTCTCTCTCCTAGAAATAAATAAAACATTAAAAAAAAAAAAAGAAAAAAAAATAGAATAGTTGTCTTTTCTCAAGAGCATGCAGAGTTTTATGGTGATCCTCACAATGAACATTATAAGAACAATTTCAGATATCCTGTAGACATGGGTCATTGGTGACAAGCTGGTGTGAATTCTGCTTTGGCATTTCCCCTACTTACCATAAGCCTGTTCAGGAGATGGGGATTAAAAGATGAAAGTTTTCTGCCCCCCTCCTCGGCCAGGTGCTTGTGGCTTAGTGGGGTGGGATAGTAAGACTAGAAGAACTGAGGCACCCTGTGGTTGTTTTCATGAAGAGCAGGAGACCACAGAGAGGAAGTGACCCATTGGCTGGGAGAAGCGGAGGAAGGGCTTGCAGAGGATGTGATATTAGAACTGTGTGAGAACAATCAGAGAGGTGGGTGGTGGCAAACAGTGCCTGGCATCCCCAGGAAGGGACGGGGACTGCATGGTATTCTCATTGCAGGCCAGCCTCATGGCTGGAACTGGACTCTGGCACTGAAATGCAGGCTGGTGTCCTGCATTCATTTTCTATTGTGGTGCCACAAATTTAGGAGCTTAAAGCAACATCGTTTTATTACACATCCTCATAATCTGCAGGTCAGAAGTCCAGCAAGGCATGGCTGGACTCTATGCCGCGAGTCTCATGTGGCTGAAATAAAGGAGTGGGCTGGGCTGTTCCTTTCCGGAGGTTGTGGGGGAAGAATTTGCTTCCAGGTTCATTCAGAGCGTTGGCAGAATTCAGTTCCTTGAAGTTCCCCCTCTGTCTTCAAGGTCGTAGCATCCTGGCCAGGCACAATGAGCCCTTCCTGGGTTTCCTTCCAATCTCTCACCTCCCCTTCTGCTTTTCTCTTATGCTTTTAAGGGCTCATGTGATTCCATTGGACCAACCTAGATAATCCAGGATAATCTCTGTATTTTAAGGTCAACTGATTAGTGACCTGAATTACATGTTCAGAATCTCTTTTTAGGAGTAAAGTAACAGTTCCAGGGATTAGGACGTGGAATCTTTGGGGGGCGGGGGGTGCAGTGGGAATGGGACATAAATCTGCAGGCTGCAGTTTCCGAGCTGGACCTCGGCAGCCATCAATAGCCCAGAGTCCTGATGAACCACTTAGGAGGTTTCCAGGCTTCCTGCTGGGTGACTAGGGCCAGTCTCAGCCCTGCCAGGCTTCTCTGAGAAGTGTCAGTGGAGTCGGTTGGTACTGGGTACAGAGCCACCTGCCCTGCTGGCCAAGGCTCACCCAAGAATTGGCCTCAAGCAGTTTATATGTACTATTATAATAAATTCACGACCAACATTAAAAAAATCAGGAACAGTCTCATGAAAATCTGCATTTTTTTCTTTCTCTGGAAAGTTCATCAGCTCTGACAACGCTGAGTTCCCGGCCAAGCTGGAACTAGGGGCACCCTGGGGGAAGGGAGGAGGGTCTGTGCCCGCTCCGGGGAAGTGTGTGCCCTGGGTGGCCCCACGGAGACCACACCCAGTTTTGCCGGGGTCTCCACGAGGGCGGGAAGGGAGGGAATCCACGTTGACTGGGCTCTCGCCCGTGGCGGCCACTGACTCTGTATTAATTCATTTACTTCTCCAAACAACTATTTTACTGGTGCGCCCACGGCGCACGGTTGGGGCCTTATGCCAGGGTGGCCTCCAGCCCGCGCCGCCAGCAGCCGGAGCTCGTCCCCGGCGCCCCCTCGGCCGCCCGCCCCCGGCCGCCCCCGCCCCCGCCCGCGCCGGCTCCGCGTCCCCGCCCCTGGCTCCGGAGCGCGGCCGGGAGGCCGGGCGGGGAAGGGGCCGGAGCCTGGAAGCCCGCCGCGCCCGCCGCCGCCGGTCCTTCGCCCTCGGGGCCGCCGCGGGCCGTCCCCGCCGTGGTCACGTGAAGGGCCGAGCGGAGCGCGCCCAGCCCGGGCCTCCGGGAGCCCGAGGACAGAGTCCGCCGCGGCGGCCCCGACGCTCCCGGAGCCCGGCCCGCCGCGCCGTCGCCGCCGAGATGCCCGGGGCCGGCCGCGCCGCGGGCATGCGCCGCCTGCGCCCGCAGCCCTCCGAGGAGCCGCCCGCGCAGGAGGTAAGGGGGCGCCGGCCGCCGCGCTCGCGGGGCGCCCCGAGGGCTGGCGGCGCGCGCCGACGGCGCAGTCCCCGGCCCCGAGGTTCCCCTCCCCGCGCGGCCACCCCCGGAGCTCCCGGGTGGAGCGCGACCCGGCGCGAAGCCGGCGCCGGCCGCCGGGAAGGAGGGCCCCCTGTGGGGCTGCGGGCGAGGAGCCCCTCCGCCCCGGGGCTCACTCCGCGCCCTGGGCCGCGGGAGCCCTGGCAGCCGGGACTGCCCCGCTGGAAAGCGCACGGGCGGCCGCAGCCCTCGGATCCGCGCCGGAGTCGGTACGAGGGCTGTGAAGCCCGCGCCGCCTTAGCCCACCGGGGCCGCCTCCGCCGGACGGGGCCCGAGCTGGGACCCGCGCCCGGGCTCCGTGTTGGGGTCCTGTGCCCCTGAAGCGCGTCCCCGAGCTCGCCGCACTGGGCTCCATGGCGGCAGGAAAACATCGAGGGCGCCGAGGCAGGGAAACGCCCGGGAGGAAGGCTGCAGGATGTGGGTCCGGGAGTGCTGATGCAGCCCCGGCTCTTCTGATCCCCGCGGGGCGAAGCAGATGTGCTCAGCTCTGCACTCCTTTGGAAGACGTGGAACTTCCCAGCAGTCATTCCTGGACTGTTTGCTTTCTCTGGACAAGAACTCAGAGCGGAGAGGGAGGCAGGCAGAGCTCCAGGGATAGGAGCCGCTGCTCTGATTCAGAAAACCCTAACTGTGAATTACAAGATGAGGGGGCCCACGATCTGGCGGAGCCTCTGGTTTCCCCCTCTGTAAGGTGGGATGGTAATTCACACCCACCTCAGAGGAGTGTGAAGACCGCGTCTGTCAGGCTCAGGGCACTGTGCCCGCCCCACAGTCATGACAGCCAGGCTTCTCTGGGAACACTCACACGTGCTGCGTTTCCTTCTGGTTGTGCAAGTGTGTGGGAGGTGAAGGGTGTTTTAGTCCCTTCTCCTCGTTCAGCTGGCCCCTTCAGCTCTGGGCTGTCCTGGTATAGCCCCCGCCTCTCCTCACTGGGCTCCTGTCCCCTGCTCTAGAGGGTCTCTCTGGTGTAGGATTTCAAAGCCCCACCTGGTGCATTGGCCTCCCTCTTTGGCCTGCGGGTGTCTCAGAGAGTTCTGGCCACTTATAGCAGGTGAATTCTGCCGTGTCCCCTTAAGACAACAGGTGGAGGAAGGCAGGCCAAGGAGAAAGAGGAAGGGAAGAATTATTGCTTGACCCAAAGGGCCCTGCCCCTCTCATTCTGCACAATGACGGACCTGTGATCGCCAGAATTTTCTGTAGCGAGAACATCTAGCCTGAGATTGTCCATATCCTCCCTCTGTGTATTTAATGTTTCTTTGTCTAAATAAGAGAAGAATGTAAAACAAAAAACAAAAAATAAATAATTTGAGACCTCAAGAAATGCAAGGAGGGCTGAAAACAGCCCAGGGGAGCAGGCAGAAAAAGTGGGGAGCCTGGGTCCAACTGGTAATTCTCAGCAGAAGCTCACTTTCTGAGATAACAGCGATGAGTGAGTCATTAAGCCAAGGCTCTGATCTGAGACACTTGGTAGCTACGATGGTACGATTAGTTTTGGGTCACTCAATAAAAAACCGCCTAGTCATCTGAAATGCCATTTCCACCCTCTCCTCTCAAGCAGTTTTTTTAGAAGCTTTTTCTGCCTGGTGTTTCTTTTGGCAGATTCTAAGATGGGAATCCACTCCTTTGGTACTTTTACCAACACTTTCAGCTGTGAAATTGAAATAATCCAGTACTAGTGATTCTCAGCCTTACTGTTGGTTAGAATTACCTGGGGGAGTTTTTAGAAATGTGTCTGGGTTCAAGCAGGCCCTACCCTGGAGATTCTGATTTAATCGGTCTGAGTGTGGTCTGGGTAACAGTAACTTTAAATCTACCAAGTATTGAAAGTGCAGCCAAGGCTGAGAGCCCATGTCCTGTATGCTGTTACTTTGTGACCTATGTGATTACCTCATAGTATCTTATGGGGTTCTCTCTCTCTCTCTTTTTTTTTTTTTTAATTTTTTTTAATTTTTTTTTTTTTTTTTTTATTTCTAGGAGAGAGAGAGAGAGACAGCGTGAGCAGGGGAGGGTCAGAGAGAGAGGGAGTCACAGACTGAAACAGGCTCCAGGCTCTGAGCTGGCAGTCAGCACAGAGCCCGACGCGGGGCTCGAACCCATGAACCGCGAGATCATGACCTAAGCGAAAGTCGAACGCTTAACCGACTAAGCCACCCAGGCGCCCCTAAAAAAATTTTTTTTATGTTTATTTGTTTTTGAGAAAGAGAGAGACAGAGACAGAGACAGAGCACACCAGGGAAGGGTCAGAGAGAGAGGGGGACACAGAATCCAAAGCAGGTTCCAGGCTCTGAGCTGTCAGCACAGAGCCCGACGCCGGGCTCGAACCCATGAACTGCAAGATCATAACCTGAGCAAAGTCGGATGCTTAACTGACAGAGCCCCCCCAGGGACCCCATCGTCTTCTTTCTTAATAACTGATTTCTACTTGAACTTCACTACAGCCAGATGTAATACTCAATGAGATTTCAATCTTTGGACATTTGTTGAGATTTACTTTATTTTNGAGAGAGAGAGACAGTGTGAGCAGGGGAGGGTCAGAGAGAGAGGGAGATACAGAATCTGAAACAGGCTCCAGGCTCTGAGCTAGCTGTCAGCACAGAGCCTGACGTGGGGCTCAAACCCACGAACCTTGAGATCATGACCTGAGCCAAAGTCGGACGCTTAACTGATTGAGCCACCCAGGTGCCCCTTATGTGTTTCTCTTTGAATGTTCTTATTAAACCTTTTCATTCAAGTCTTAGATTACCCTGTTTTCAGGCTCTGGTCTTCCGGTGTTGTTTTATAGTGATTTGCAGAGAAGTTTTTTTTGCAGGAGGAAAATGGGAATAACCAGGAAGGCTTGGGAGAATATTAGTTAAATCAGGTAGTCTTAAACTGAAGTGCCCACAGGGGCCAGAGAGGAACATAAAACCAGTGGCATAGGTGGGAATGATTCAGCTGTGGAGGAAAGTGGGGCTTGTGGTGACATGGAGAGCATGTTTTTTGCCCAAAGAAGACCATGGTTATCCAATTCCATTTGGCTGTGGCTGCATGGCCTATCATAGATTGCAAAAATGGCCCCAAGCTCTTCCCATCCTGGATACAGCCTCATTTGCAATGAGCCTTTGCAACTCCTTAGGAAGTGGAGTCATACATGAGACTTGCTTTGGCCAATGAGACATGAGCAGATGTGATGCACGCAGAGGTATGAAAAACACTTGAGCATTGGTGCTTGCCGCCTGATGCTCCTGGGAATCCTTTGAGCACCGACGTGTGGAAGAGCCCTGGCCAGCCTGCTGCCTGGCGCACGTGGCCAAGACACGTGAGCGCGGCTGTCCTGGACCGTCCCCTCCAGATGACCACACGGATCAGCTAAGTTGACCTGGACCAGAAGGACTGCCTGGCTGACCCACCGAATTTGGAAAAAATAATGAGTATTTATTCAGGTGACCTGAGTATCAGGCTGGGTAGCAAAAGCGTACTGAAATAGAGCCCAGCGCTGCCAGATGTTATGACCTTTCAAAGAGAAACCAGAAGTTCAAATTTTTGTGTACGCTCCAGTTTTTCTTTAAAAAATTTGAATTAGTAGCCAGCATCCATAAAGCACTCTCTGGGCCAAACAAAACACATCTTTAGGCTGCCCTTGCCTGCAGGTTGTGGGTCTTTCTGCACAGAGGGACATGAGGTGTTTATACTAACAGCTAATTGCCACCTGTTCTCTCACCCATCTTGCCGTGGCTCCTATGCCCCAGCTTACCCTTAGCAGCTAGCTGTTTGTTTATATGAAATGACCACAACATACTTCACAGCCCCGGCTTCTCCTGGCAGTCTTTCCACTTGGAAATGGAAACTGCTAGTATTTCCAGCTGTCATAGAGGAAGTGAGATTTGAGATGGGCCTCCAAAGGAAGAAAGTTCTAGAAAGGATACTCCCAGTTTTTAGGTGAACAAGAGATTGGGTGTGGAAGTGGGGGTGGGGGTGGGGGCAGTGGACAGCGCACCTGCTAGTGTGGCCAGAGAAGAGGGTTTCTGTAGGGAATTGAGGGTGACCAAGTTGGAGAGAGGAGAGATTGTGGAGCCCCTAAATGCCCAGCCAGAGATTTTACATTTGATTCTGCGCACACTCCACGTAAAGAGAAGTCACTAGAAGCTTTTGAATGGGGGTTGGATGGGAGAGCAGTGATCACCTCTCTTCCAGGCATCCGCGTGCTTGTAACCTATAGGGGGAAAGAAGGGAGGCAGAGAGAAAGACAAAGTACAGCGTATGTATTGACAGAGAGAAAAATTGAGATGAGAGAGAACTTTTCTTAAAATTCACGGTAACTGTGTTTTACCTTAGGTTGTAGTTCGTTAGGTTAAATTTCTTATATATCTAAACAAGGCATATCGGCTTTTTTTAAAAGCACTTCTGTTAACAACTTCATCAAGGTTCTTGTTTGACTTAAAGGTATCTGGAGCTTACAGTTTATTCCTACGCTGGGGGCTTAGCAAAGGAACTTCCTTGCCCTCTACTGCGAGCTTCTGGAAATGATCATTCCCTCCCCCACCTCCCTACCCTGCCCTGCACGCTCTTCCCTTTCTCCCTAAGGGATTCCAAGTTATCCACCTTTCCTCAGAATGAAGGCTTACAGGGTTGAGAGGGCGAGAGGAGAAAACACAAAAATCTTAAACACATTTTAAAATCTTGGGGACAGGAAGGGAAATGTCACAGCTACGAGAAGAGGAGAAACAGAAAATCAAGAGAAGCCCGTTATCGCCACGGCGCCACAAAGATACAAAACATAGAAGAAGCAGTAGTAAAATGGCCCTGTTTAGACCGGTGGTTTTTTTCCATCTTGACTGCATGTTGGAATCTCCTGGGAATTTTACAAATTCATCCTGGGTCTCACCTCCTTGAGATTCTGATGCGGTTGGCCTGGGCAACAAGAGTTTTACAAGCAAAGCTCTGAAGGTGGCGGTCTGTGCCGTGGGAGTTCCAGAACTGCTGCCCTGGCACTCACTGGTGCCTTCCCTAGGCGAGGGATGCTGCTTTGAGGTGCAAAACCATCTATTAGCTGCATTGGGGGTGACATTGCTATTTGGTTTGCTGTTTTCATGGTAGATATGGACAGTGGTTGCCATGTGACCTTGAAGTATGCAGTTTTGAAAGAGCATGTCTAACACAAACCACATTCTTGGGTTGGATGAAAGTGATTTGTTTTATGGAAAGATACCAGTGACCTTAATACCAATGAGAATGCTCATTACAGTAAGGTTGCCTGCTAAGAGCACTTCTTCCCAAGCAGAGATGGGCAGGACCCTTAGAAGGTGCACACCAACAGGATGGAGAGAGCAAAGACAGGTAGCAGAAGATGGAGCAGATGAGATTTTAAAAAGAGACAGGTGTCAGAAATGTAATAGCTAAGAATGGGAAAACTCTGGAACGGTATAAAGGTAAAGTTGCTGTTGTGAAAGTGTCAGCATATTTAAATGTAACAGGCGTGTGTCCAGATGGCAAAGGGTGGGGGTGGTTGGAAGAGGCGTCATGATGCTTCTATCATTCGTGCAGTGTGAGCAGCCTGGGTGATGACTGATGGAGGTGACCCCCAGGGCCGGGCTGTGAGGAATTGCTGGTGAGCATCTATTTTCTATTTTCAACCTGGAGGCCATGTGGAGGGTGTGGTTCAAATCCACGATTGTCAAACTCCTCTTGTGTGGACAAACTGTTTCGCTGGGACTGAAAGAATGTTAGTAGCATCATCTTTTTTTTTTTTAATTAAAAGAAAAATTTTTTATAGAGAGAGATAGAGATAGAGTGTGAGTTGGGGAGGAGCAGAGAGAGAGGGAAACACAGAATGTGAGCTGTCAGCACAGAGCCCCACGAGGGGTTTGAACCCATGAATGATGAGATCATGACCTGAAGTGAAGTTGGATGTTTAACCAACTGAGCCACCCAGGCGTCCCAGTAGCATCATCTTTTTAAATTGGGAACAGTAGGGGCGCCTGGGTGGCTCAGTTGGTTAAGCATACAACTTTGGCTCAGGTGGTGATCTCATGGTTCGTGGGTTCAAGCCCCGCGTTGGTCTCTGTGCTGACAGTTCAGAGTCTGGAGTCTGTTTCAGATTCTGTGTCTCCCTCTCTCTCTGCCCCTTCCCTGCTCATGCTCTCTCTCTCAGAAATAAATAAACCATTAAAAGAAAACAACCCAATGTGTTAACCTTTAAAAAAATACAAATAAATTGGGAACAGTAGTGGCTTTAAGAGATATTGCATTATGTATATAAATATATACTTATATATATGTATATACGTATACATATACATATACATATACATATACATATACATATACATATACATATACATATACATACATGTGGGGCTTGATCATGACTTGAGCTGCAATTAAGAGTTGGATGCTTAACTGACTGAACCACCCAGGTGCCCCTGAATATATTTTTTAAAGGAAGGCCTTAATATCATAATTCTTTGCTGTCCCAGTATGACCTTTATGAGGCTTAATGGAACTTCCTTAAAATTGATGTGCCTTCATTTTAAAAAATAAAGTCTTGTCGATGCTAACCATTTTATATCTAAAATAGATTTCTGAGCATATCCTGGGGGGAGTCTAGTGTTCCTCGGTGTTCATGATGTTCAATGAAAAAATAATTGGTATTAAGAGATTGCCTACTAGCAGTTTTTTAATATGTAAAAGAAAAATGTGTGGTAAGTGTTTAATACACTTATATGGTGCTTTTTAATAACCTCCTTTTAAGAATTGCTGTACCAGTCCTGAGAATGCACATGACTCAGAAGGTGATGGGCTCTTATAGCAGTTAATTCATCTTTGAGGTTGTTTCCTACACCTATTTTTAATCAAAACATTTATCTTTGTTTTGGGGCAATTTTTAACAGCTTTATTGCGCCATAATGGATATACATTAAACTACACTTATTTGAAGTGTGCAGTTTGATGAGCCTTGGTGTAGGAAAACACTTGTGAAAGTAATAACCATATTCAAGGTAATGAATACATCTGTCACCCCTACAGATTTCCTCATGCCTGTTTGCAGTCTACCCCTCTCTCCATCCCCTCCTCCCCCTGTCCCCAGGCAACTGATCTGGTGTCTGCCATTACAGATTCATTTGCATATTCTAGAGTTTTATATACTCATGTAGTAGGTGTTCCTTTGGGAGGGTAGGAGTTAACTTCTTTCACTCAGCAAAATTATTCTGAGATTCATCTATTATGTTGTGTTTATCCAGTAATTCATTCCTTTTTATTGCGGAGTCGTCTCCATGGCATAGATAGATCACATTTTGTTTATCCATACACGTATCTGTGGACAGTTTGGTTGTTTCTAGTTTTCAACTACGAAGTTTCTAGTTTTCAACTATTTCGAATATTTGCATACAAACACAACTTGGGAATGGTGTTCTAACATAAGCCACATTCTTGGGTTGGCTGTAAAGTCTTTGCATAGACACATACTTGCTTTCTCTTTGGTAAATACTTAGGAACGGAATGGCCCCAAAACTAACAAGCTGTTTTCTAAAGTAAACGTAGCATTTTCCATTCTTACCAATAATGTGTGAGAGTTCCAGTTGCTTTACCTCCATGTCAAGTCAGTCTCTAGTTTTAGACATTGTTTAGATTTAGTGGAAGTGTAGTGGTATCTCATTGTGGTTAAAATATGTATTTCTCTAATGACTAATGATTGTTTTATAATGTGCTTATTTGCCGTGCATACATATATCTTCTTTGGTGAAATGCCTTTTAAAAGATCTGTCATAGTAACTAATGTTTGTGGTTTTTAATGCAATATAACTTATTTTTTTAAAGTGTTGCGATATGCAATAAATTTATGAAATGCAGTTCTACTGTGTCTACAAATATTGATTTTTGTCTAAAGTTTGGAATCTTTTGATCTCTCTGAATACTAGATGCGTTTGCAAAATTGACTTGCTTGGCCAATGATAGGTCTCCATTCCAATCCATACAGGAGGATGTCCTGAATTTTGAGGACATAACTCTGGTAATTGAATGGATAACCAGGTTGCTTTCCTCCTGGAGGTCATAGGAAGGTGTAAATAGCTAGTCTGTTTGTGTGTGTTCTTTATCTCTTTTATACAGAATCAGAAATGTGAGTCATCACAGATGGGGCTCAGCTGTACTGGTCAGGAGGTAGTGTAAAGTCAAATCTCAAGATGCCCCTCTGGCTGGTTGAATATTATCAATCATTTTAAATGATAAGAATGTTGATGAGAAACGGGAAAACATGGCGCTCGTGTACTATGTAGAGTCATATCAAAGATGTAACTTTGGGGGAAACAATTTGGTGGTATCTGTCAAAACAAAAAATGCAAATACCTTTCATTCACAAGTTCAACTCTATCCTAGAAAAACACTCATATGGCACAAAGATATGCATGTGTGTCTGTGTGTCATACATATTTAAAAAAATTCAATGTAATTGTGATCAAAATAGAAAGAAAAGGGAGATACTACCTAAATGAAGAGGCATTTGTTGAAAAGAATGGGGTATGTATCACCATGAAAAAAATGTCCAGAATATATTGAGTGATAAAAATATGCTTTGGATCATATGAAAAGAATTTTATTTTTAAATTATGTGTCTATAAAGAGTGGGGTCACACCTTGAGAAGGAATTAGCTTCAAAAGTCATCAAGAAAGGCAATAATTTATTTATTTATTACCCTTGAAAAACACCCTAACCACTCATCAAGTACCCTAAATATAGTTTTGTGTTTTTATATATTTGTGTGTATATGGCCCTATATATGTTTGTATAAACTTACCATTTAAGTACGTTTATATGTATTATTTGATAGTGCTTTCTTGTTTCTTCCTCTGAGCGCACACATTACAAAGCACACCTTTTGAATTCAGGAAGGTTAAGCACACCCGTGTCTCAGCCCCACCACAGGGTTCCCAATGCCCAGGAAAGCATATACAGTGCTCTGAATGTTGACTACCTCCGGTGAGAGTGGACTGTGGGGGGAGAGAGGGAGGAGGCTTTCCTTTTGTACTTGTACATGAAAAAGAGAAGTGTCCTTTCCTATTCCGATTGTTGTTTTCTCCTTACTTTTTCCCAAGGAGGACCAGAACCTTCTCCTGGCAGCTGCCTATGTTTCCGATGCCCAGTACAACAGAAATGTTCCATTTGAAACATCTCCTCGGGCCATCAGGTAAGTAAAGTGTTAAACCGTCTTATAGAGCAAGCCGTTCTTCAGTACTTAACAGTCTTGCCGTTGAACCCAAACTGAAGACATTGTCTTCACAAACTTTGAGAAGCCTGTAGGATAAGGCCTAGAGATCTGGATAAAATCCTAATATCCAGTGCTTTTTTTTTTTTAAGTTATAAGAGCATGGTGCCTCACACATAGGGAAGCGTTCAATAGGTACATTAAGGACAGATAAATGAGTACATGAGTAACATATAGAGCAGGAGACAGGGCATCCAGAGGAAAACACATCACCTTTTCCTTGTAGACGAGGTTGTCCACTTAGAGCCATTTAGATGAAAAGACTTGTTTTTTTTCTTTCTGGCGCCTTCTGAGGCAATCCATGTATTTGTTCTTTTCATAAGAATCATACCTGTTCTCTCCCACCCCCTGAATGTGGAACTAAGACCAAGGAGTTGACTCAAAACAAGGAAAAAACATTTCCTATCACCGGGGCTCAGTGCCAGTGCCTCCAAAGCCACGAACGCCTCATTCCTGGAAGCTTCGAGCACGTTGGGGGGACTGTCCCCCACCCCTAGGAAGAGAACTGTGTGACCACAAGAGCTCTCTGAATCTGCCATGTTGAGATGGGGTGATGCACATTTTAAATTGGCTAGGCCACCATGTGACCATAATAGGTCATAATAAGTTAACTCTGCACCAGTCACTGTTCAAAGTCCTCTAAAAGTATCCTTTTATTATTGTCACAAGCACTCTGCAGAAGGTGCTAATCACAGCTTGAGCCTGTTAAGAGACTGTGGTTTGAGATACGAAAATATTGTCGTTTTGTTTTTTTCTGATAGTGTCTTGTAATGTGTGCTCAATTCAGTACTGTCCCTTGTGCCCTAACATTTAAAGGAAATGTGGCCAGAGCCCTACTTTGTATTTTACCTACCATTCGTCTTCCAGTGGGAAGTGTGAGTGCTGTTTAACGCCTGCTCCTTGTTTAGAAACACCTTTATCCTTTTCGTCCTCAGACTTTACTATTTTTATAACCACTGGACAATGCAAGTAGCCATCTACTTCTTTATTTGCATAGACCTCTCTCTCGCGCTGTTTGAAGAACCGGCACTGTTTCCACTGCCTTTCTTGGTAAGGATTAAAAACAAAATGGCTAACTACACTTTATCCTTGATGGGTTGGACCCCACGCCTCTCCTTATTTTTTTCAAATTTCAATAAATATGAATGTGGTTTTCTTTTATAATTTTTTAATGTTTATTCTGAGAGAGAGAGTGAGTGTGCGCCTGCGCCTGCATGTGCACAGGAGAGGGGCAAAGAGAGAGGGAGACAGAGAATCCCAAGCAAGTCCCTCACTGGCAGAGCGGAGCCTGACTCTGGGCTCAAACTCAAACTCATGAACTGTGGGATCATGACCTGAGCCCATATCTAGAGTTGGATGCTTAACTGACCTGAGCCGCATGGGCGCCCTGGATGCGGTTTTATTTTTATTGCTGGGGATTGGAAGAATTCTGCCTACTCACTGAACTGCTGCTCCAGTCTCAATCATAAGGCATTCTAAATGGAGTAGAGGTTTTTGTCTTCTGTGTATGCAGGGATGAATTGGATAGACAAAGGATATTTTCAAAGCACGTCCATTAAAGGGCAAGTAGACACTGTCATAACGTAGTGTGATATACAACTTGTTGTCCTTGCCACATTGCCAGCTTTTGTCATAGTCCTAAATCACTATCTATTGGTTCTTAGTAGCTGATCACGTTTGATTTTGAGTAATACATCAAATTCACCAACTTGGCCTAAGTAATTAACTCTAGATCGGTCCAAGTAATAAACTGATGATCTACTGATGTTAATTCCCGACTTGATGCTGCCCCTGCCTCTGAAGGTGGTTGGAACAGAGACTGGATGACTCACAGGGCCCAGAATATTCTCCTGTCTGGTCCTTTAACAGATAAAGTTCACTGACCCCTATCTTTATTACCTCCCATGACTCTGTGGGTAACTGGGCCCAACTGGAAGGGTTTCCGGCTCCTGTGTCGTTAGCTGAGGTAGTAGATACCCAGAAGCTTTGTGCAGCTCTGGAGGCTGGCAGGGGCTGCTGGCCGTGAGCGGGAGCTTGGCTGGCTGGAGCCGTGGACCAGAGTGCCCTGCTCTCTCTTTTTTTTTTTTTTAATGTTTTTTATTTATTTCTAGGAGAGAGAGAGAGAGAGACAGCGTGAGCAGGGGAGGGTCAGAGAGAGAGGGAGTCACAGACCGAAACAGGCTCCAGGCTCTGAGCTGGCAGTCAGCACAGAGCCCGACGCGGGGCTCGAACCCACGAACCGTGAGATCATGACCTAAGCGAAAGTCGGACGCTTAACCGACTAAGCCACCCAGGCGCCCCAGTGCCCTGCTCTCTTATGCAGCGGCTGCACTGCAGCCCCTTCTCCCGGTGGGGGAGGAGCAGGCCGAAGCAGGCACGCCCGAGTGTACAAGCACACTCTCAAGCCTCCATTCCCATCATGCTTGCTGATGTCCTGTTGGCCAAAGCCCATCAGAGCCCTGGGAGTATGCCGCACACAGGGCTGAACGCTGGGAGCATGATTCACTGGGGGGTGGGGGTGGGGGGGCACCAGAGTGACTGTGTAACCCGCTTCTGTATGATTAAGATGCTACAATTAATGAAGTCTCTGGATAGAAAACTTGTAGCCCAGGGACCACTGAAACAAACACAGAGTTGGAAGAAGCAGAGCTGTGTGTTCCGAGACCAGACAGTCAGTCCCTCCCTAGCACAGCCCTCTCTGGACACGACGAGACTTCCCTGGGGTTGTCTTCTCAGCCTCTTGGCCTCTCTTCCTGAGTCCTGATCCTTCCGTTCGTTGTTGGTCACGTACAGCTCCAGGTGGGCTGTCTGAGTTTCAAGTGCTCCTTCAGCCAACGTTTGTACCTCTGGTCTCTGGAATATCTGGAATAGAATGTGTCATGGGGGCGGAGGGGGGGCGCGGGGGGGGGGGAGGCTTTGGCCCAGATGCAGCATTACCAGCCACACCTTATTTTGAGCAAAGGTGTCCTGGAATTGCCCCAGGCCCTTTTGCTAGCCTGGCCTTGGCAGTGAGTCTCTAGAGTCTTTCGAGGATGAATAGGCTGAGGGCTAGAAGGTTTGCAAGGAGCTGTAGCCCATGTCCACGCCCGGGACCCATGAAGGCTGGGGTGGGGACGGGAAGACTGTGTCAACTGCTGCTGTCAGGGCCCAGAGCCAGCCCCTTCTGTCCTGTCCCCTAGGGAATCTATTCCTTCCAGCCCTCACCCCAGACCTTTCTGTCTTCCTAGCCTAGCCAGCTTGCCTTTTCCCCATCTTTCTGTACTGTGCCACCCTCCTCACCCCCTGATGAAGGCAAGGGGAGGAGCTACTGCCTCAGGGCAATTACAGGAAAGCCTGGGCTGCATCACAGGCTGCCAGTCTAGCTGCCTGTAGGGAGTTTGGAGCTGGTGTCCTGTAACCTACAGAAGAGACGGTCAGGACTTGGCATTGGGTCCCGGTGGCCTCCATTCTTTCCTCTAAACCAGCCACACAAAGGAAGAGGGCAGCAGTGTGGCACTGATGGCTAAGGAATGACCCATATTTCAAAACATGTCTTTGGGAGGTTACTCTATTGTTAGAGAAACTGAACTTCTAGATTCCTTCTCTAAATATGAACATGAAATTGGGGAGCACAGAAGATGCCAGTGTCTGCCGTCCCAGAACTCCCCTTTTCCAGGGAAATGCCTTCTGGGTCCTCTGCCTGCTGACTCAGCCCCTCCCAAGAAGCCCTGACTGTTGGGTCATGGGATTCATGACTCAAGGACAGGTTTCCTCTTAAGAGGAAGAAACCATTCCGACTAGCAAAGAATTTGACTGCAATGTGCTGCCCTCAAAAGGGACAGTGCCATTTCTCAGAGAGTGGCATCAAGGTGGCTTGGGGGGCTGGGAGGGTTACGAGAAAGTGAAAGCTGAGGGGCGCCTGGGTGGCTCAGTGGGCTGAGTGTCCGACTTCGGCTCAGGTCATGATCTTGCGGTTCGTGGGTTCGGGCCCCGCGTCGGGCTCTGTGCTGACAGCCAGCTCAGAGCCTGGAGCCTGTTTCGGATTCTGTGTCTCCCTCTCTTTCTGACCCTCCTCTGCTCATGCTCGCACTCTCTCTCTCTCTCTCACTCTCTCTCTCAGAAATAAATTTAAAAAACACTAAAAAAAAAACAAACAAACGAAAGCTGAGCCTCCAAGTGGCAGGGCACTGTGTTTAGTCTCTGTTTTCTGCATGCAGGCTACCTCGCTAGCAGAAGTACTCTGTCTGACTGCATTCTTTGGGAGACTTGTACATTTTGCAAAAGTCACTCCTCAGATGGTTTTCTGGAAGGATACGAAAAACATCTGCATCATGGTAACCATAGTGGTGAGTGCTCATTATAGGACCCTGAAGATTTTGTGGTTAAAGGCAGAAACTATGAAGACAAAAGGCTGAATTGACTTGACCTGGTTAAAGCAACAATGACAGACTTCGGCACAGCAGACACCATTAGCGTGAGTGCAGGCGAGCCCCAAATGAAGAACAAAGAGGGCAACGTATGACAGTGTGAGTGCTGTATAGTAACATAGCAAGAGCACTTGCAAATTAAAAGGAAAAAGAAAAAAGAGACTCCAACAGGGCTGAAAATAGGTGAAAGCATCTCATAAAAGAAAAGTTTAAATAATGATAGATAATGAAAAAATGTGCAACTTCACTAATTCAGAAATATATATTAAAACAACAACAAAATGCCATGTGTTTGCCCATAACACAGCGTTGGCAAGATTGAGAGAAAACAGGGACAAATAAGCTGTCTTTCTGGAAGGCTGATTGGCAGTTCTTTCAAAAGCCTTAAAAGTGTCTACACTTGGATTGTACACAGGAGTTCCACTCCTGGGACTTTATCTTTAGGAAAGAAGGATGCGTTCAAAGGTTTAGCCACGAGATTGGTCCATGGCTAAACTGTCCCTAATACTGGAAACACTGGCAACAACACTGAATGTTACACATTCACAGAGAAATCCAAAAGGATATCTGCTAAGCAGTCAGGCCAAGCGGAGGAGGGTAAGGTGTACGTTTGCCTGTGCGTGGTGCCTTACGTCCCAACACCCAGTACCACGTCTTCCGAGTCAGCATCCTCCCTTCTCTATTGCATCCGGCCTCCCCAGAGCCCCTCAGGACGCCTCTTGCCCTGTGTCACTCTCCCCACTTGGACTATTGCAGTTGTCTCTAATGTGGCCACGTGTTGTCTTTTTGCTGCATGCCATTCTGTTCCCACGACGCGGCGTAGGCCCTGGTCACCCCTTTCGGGAACTGCCGTGGTCACCTCAACCTCAGATTCCCCGATACATCCATTCTAGATGCTGCTGCTGGATCAATTCTCTGGGAGCACGTGTCAGATCACTTTGCTCCCTTGCTCAAAAACGTCTGTGAGTCCCCAGACTATTCAGTGCCCCCCAGTCCTGCAAATGTGCTTCACAGGGACCTCTTCACTCTAGCTGGAGCGAGGTGCCTGCTGCCTCCTGCACGTACCACTCGCTCCTCCTCAGTCTGGGGTGGCTCTTTTGCCTGGAATGCCCACTGTCCTTTCTCGCCTTGCTCTAAATACTTGACTTCCCTTCACACATCTGCTGAACCCTCAGAATCTGCAGACTACCTATCTGTGCTTTTCTTTTTAGAAATATCTTCATTTTCTACTACTGAAAAAGAAATGCAGGCGCACTCAGTCTGGGAGGGGTACCTGGGGGCACAGGCTCGGTCGGGTTCAGTCTATAACACCACCCTGCCTGAGGCAGGATGGCCGAGGATGGAGTGGGAGGGGAAGGAGGAGGCTATTTTTGGAAAAGAAATCCAAACAATACAGGCTCTATACAACAGAGGAAGACACTCCTGCTAATCTCCAAGGAGACCGTGTGCTTCGTCCATGACCCTGTCTGCGGCATGGCCCCTTACTAGGCCAGGGGGGAAGGCACCGCTTCGTCTCCTAAAACTCCTAGCCAGTGCTCAAGTACGGTGGGCACACAGGCACTCTTAAAGTCACATCACGGGGTCCCCTGCCTTGAATCATCCGATGCTTTTCATCTCACGTCACAGAGAAGCCAGTCCTTACTGTGGCGTAGGCTCTGTGGCCCCCCGTCACTCTGGCCCACCCCCTTCCACCCTCCTCCTCTCCTGCTCTCTCCACGCGTGCTGGGCTGCTTCAGGCCTCCCTTTGCCTCATCTGGGTTTTCCCCAGAGCATGGACCGCCACCTGCCGCAGAGTGTGTTTATCATCAGCTCCGTTCTTTCCTGCCGGAATGTGCGCTTTGTGAGGGCAGGCGCTTTCCACCCAGCTCTTGCTCTGCCTCCAGAGCTACAGTGACGGCCTGCACGAAGAGGCGCTCTGTACTGCGAGTTTGGAGTGAACTGGGTGAGGATGCACTCTTGCCTTGCCCGAGTCTGCCCTACAGCTGTTACTGGGGCGATTCACGCCTTTGCCCTCGTTGCCCGTACTTGAAAGACTTCCTGTGTTCTCCAGGCCCTCGGAATAAGACCTCCCTTTTCAGCCTGGTTCTCAAAGCCACAAGTGAGTCCTTGTCACTTCCTGCTTCCTCTGCCCCCACCTTCGGGATCCTCAGCTCCCCAGATGCACCAGGACAGCTCCTCCCTGAGAGTCCCTTTACTATGTCTTCCTGCTGTGGCTCTTGACTTTTCTGAGTTTTATTCTTTCATTTTATTTTGTACCTTTTTAAAATGTTTATTTATTTATTTTGAGGGGAGGTTCAGAGGGAGAGGAGAGAGAATCCCGCGCGGGCTCCCTGCTGTCAGCACAGAGCCCAATGCGTGACTCCATCTCATGAACCGAGAGACCATGAACTGCAATGAAATTGAGTCAGCCTGAGCCACCCAGGTGCCCCCTGAGTTTTGTTCTTTTAAAACTCTGTCTTTGGGGTGCCTGGGTGGCTCAGTTAAGAGGCCGACTCTTGATATTGGTGCAGGTCATGATCTCATAGTTCATGAGTTCAAGCCCCAGGTTGGACTCCAGGCTGACAGTGTGGAGCCTGCTTGGGATTTTCTCTTCCTCTCTCTGTGCCTCTTCCCCTGCTCTCTCTCTCTCTCAAAAATGACAATAAATAAACAAACAAAAAAAAACCCCTCTATCTTTGCTTTAAGATTATATCAGGGAGTGCTTGCTCATGAAGCCTCCTCCAACACCGTAAACTTTGGTGGTCTGCCTGTCCCCACCCTCCCCGGGACAGCCACGATGGCTCCCTCCTGCAGCGCCCAGGGCAGCAGTCAGCACCTGCTTCCTTCCATGTCTGCATCCCGTCTCCATCCCCGTGTTGGATCTCACCTGGTCCCCTGTGGCTTGCTGAATTAACACTTTTGATGATGTAGACTATTCTTTTCTACTTACATTTTCTTAAAATACACTGGGTTCTTCTTTTGCCCTGTTCCCAGGTGATTGCAAACCTGACAATAAGAATCAGGATTTTCCTACCTCTGTCACTAGGTTAGACAACCTCTCTTTTATATGTCAAATTGAAGACAAGTTAAAGCTAATCAGGATGTTGTGTGGAAGATTGTAACTGTGCAAATAACTGCATGGGCTCTAATGTCAGACCGTGTGGGTTCCAGAGGCCGCTCTGCCCCCTACTAGCTGTGTGACCAGGGCCACATGCTCACCCTCTCTGCGCCTCCAGTGTCTCCATCCAGGAATAGTGCCCACCTTAGGGGTGTGGTGACGATAACATAGAATAATCATGGAAGGTACTTTTTAAACTTCACGGCACATAATAAATATACAACAACAGCTACTTTTAATGTTACATCACAAAACTAGAATTGTACTGTTTATGGGACTTGCATGTGACCCTCCTTCTGGGGTCAGTGAACATGCATCCCCACCATCACTTCCTCTGCCCTGGAGCAGTGTGACACTGACATCTCTGTCCCGTGTTTCTCACAGCTGACCTTGATTGATCTGATTATCTATGGGTCCCTGAAAGCTGTTAACATCCGCAGCGTTCGATGGTCAAGGGCCTTAAGGCCAGTCTTCCTAATTAACTTCCCTGAAAGTCGTCAGGTAAGTATATACTTTAGGATGCACAAGGGCTTCGCTTTTGTTTTTGCAGAAAATTAGCTGATTTCTTGTAAATGAAATGAAATTTTGTCATCACAGATCCGAAGAACTTTCAGAAGCATCCGGAACACTCTGCCCGATATTCTCTACGTCTTCCTCTTGTTTATGTTCAGTGTGCTGATATTCTCCCTTATGGCCTTGAAGCTTTTTGGGGATAGGTGAGCACACTGCTCTGGAAGTTTCTGCCTGTGAACCTCCCCCATCCCCCCTTCGGGTTCAGCCTGTTGGTGGCAGAATCTGTCACGGGGTGCCATCTTTCTTGCTCAGACACTCCAGGAGTGCTTCTGAAAGGGGAAAAGTGTATCAGAAACCACAAGTTCATTTGTGTGTGGGGGTTTTCACTTTGTGTTTTTGGTTCCTCTTTAGGGGTCTTAAAACAGTGGAAGGTTTGCCCTACTTCACAAACATCCTGGATATAGTGTTTGAGCTCTACGTGCTGGTCACTACCGCCAACAGCCCCGATGTCATGTACGTTCATCTTGGCTCATGGTCATGGACGGACACCTGTTACCAGGACGGAATTCATTTTGCTAAAGGCAGCTGCCTCCAAACACCAGCAGGGCTGAGAGAGGAGACCTAGTGATTTTCCGTTTATTCATGTTCATTGTAAAAATGTTTGAAGAATGCAAAATGTTTACACTAACAATAGCCTACCCTGTCTATTTAAAACTAAATTCAGGTGATTTTTTTTTTTTTTAAACTGAAAGCAACAGGAGATATCTCTTGAGATACAACTCTTTTTTTAATTTTTAAAAATATTTTAATTTATTTTTGAGAGACAGAGAGAGAGCATGAGTCGGGAGGGGCAGAGAGAGAGGGAGACACAGAATTTGAAGCAGGCTCTGGGCTCTGAGCCATTAGCACAAAGCCTGACGTGGGGCTCCAACTCGTGAACCGCGAGATCATGACCTGAGCTGAAGTCGGATGCTTCACTGACTGAGCCACCCAGGCGCCCCTTGAGAGATGACTCTTAAATATTGGAGCCTACTTTCTATTAGGGATTTTTTTTTTTTTTTTTTTTGCACCTTGAAGTTAAACAGCTAAGCCATCTTTCGAAAGGAATCATGGCTTGTTCTCCTAAGCATTGATGCACCTTTGTAGTTAGATGAGACAGGAAAGAAATGTAAAGGTTAGTAGTTGTGGCCTGCCCCTTCAAAAGGCCAGTTCTCCACACGCGTGGTCTTCACTTAGGAGGAAATCATTGTGCATTTTCTTTCTTAATATCCTTCATATTCTGGATTAAGCTTGTTTGGGGACACAAAATTATTAAACATGCTACACTGAGTAGACATCCCTTTGGGTCTAGGACATGGACAGGGCTCTAACTGCAAATGTCAGTCCCAACACAGTCCATATTGCACTTTGGGCAGGGCACGTTTTCTGTCCTCTAGTTCTGTGTGGGACCATCATATCACCTTGCTCTGGCTTCTTGCTCACTCTTGGGCCTGGCTTGGGCAAAACGTACACAAGGTGAAGTCCTGGCCCTCCTTGTGTGCTCCTGGATCTTTCTCTCGGACTCTTGCACATCCAACACCCCCTCCTGTATGAAATCCAGTTTCCAAAAGTGTGGAGTTTCCTCAAAAAGTTGACAGTAGAACTACCCTATGACCCAGCAATAGCACTGCTAGGAATTTACCCAAGGGAGACAGGAGTCTAATGCATAGGGGCACATGTACCCCAATGTTCATAGCAGCACTCTCAACAATAGCCAAATCATGGAAAGAGCCTAAGTGTCCATCAGCTGATGAATGGATCAAGAAGATGTGGTTTATCTATACAATGGAATACACGGCAATGAGAAACAATGAAATCTGGCCATGTGTAGCAACATGGATGGAACTCGAGGGTGTTATGCTGAGTGAAATAAGTCAGGCAGAGAAGGACAGATACCACATGTTTGCACATATAGATGGATTAGGAGGAACTTAATGGAGGACCATGGGGGAGAAGGGGAAAAATAGTTGGGGAGAGGGAGGGAGGCAAACTATGAGAGACTCTTGAATGCTGAGAACAAACTGAAGGCTGATGGGGGTCAGGGAGAGGGAAAGGGAGGTGATGGGCATGGAGGAGGGCACTTGTGGGGATGAGCACTGGTTGTTATATGGAAACCAACTTGACAGTAAACTATTTAAGAAAAAAAAAAAAAAGAAATCCAGTTTCCACTGGAGGTGGAGTGAGCACACACCCTGATTTATGCCTCTCACCTGGTGCCATTATTATTGGTGCTCCATTCTTTCTCATGGTCCCAGACTGGCTAGAAAATTATCTGTGCCCTTGCCCCCCAACAAGGCAGTCGGGTGTCCCTGAAGAGCCTTGAGTATAAACCCAAGCCACGCTTCGATTCCTTCTGTAGTCCTGGGGAAATTGGTCTCCTTTTAGGCTTCGAGTGTGAGGCCACAGTGAGTCCTCCCTCATTGTGAAGGGAGGGAAGGGGATTGGAGGATCTCCGACGTCCTACTTGTTTTGAAAGCTGTCACCTCTAAAAGGCATGAAGACATTCAGAAGGCAAGTTTAGGGCCAGCTGTTTGGCATTAGGGGTGGTGATGGCTTTGCTACACAATCGCATGGCACCGCACCATATAGGGGAGAGTCAGAGTGAGAGGAGCTTTTGCTGTGCCTTGTGCCCATGGATTGTCCATGTGGGATGGCTCCTGAGGTCAGCCTTTTATGCACTAAGGACCTAGGCTATGAAAAACCGTGCACCATAATTCTTTCCTTCTAGGATGCCTGCCTATAACTTCAACTGGTGGTATTCTCTGTACTTTATAACCTACACCATCATCAATACCTACATCTTCATGTCCGTCTTTCTGGCTGTGGTCTACAACAATTATAGGAAGCACTTAAAGGTAAGGTGCATGAGTGGAAGGGGGGTGGGGGCGGGGTAGGATAGGCACACGGGCAGGCTGCTATGGAAGGGAGGCTGGCAAATGCATTGGCTCAATATTTGAAAGTGTTCTTTTTCTTTTTGCTTTGGCCAATCTGAAGATTTATTTGGTGTCTTGCTCTATTCTTTACCAGTCTCTGCAATGGGTCTAACAGTGTGTCTGAACATTGTGGACAGTGCTAGGCCCTTGCTTGGCTCATTACTCCTCAGGCATTCAGTTGCTCATGGTTCCTTGAAAGGTTTTACTAAGAATGGGGGTTGAGGATATTCTCCAAGCTTCCATTCCTTTTCCCCTCTCCAGCAAAAGCAGAAACTTCTCGAAGCCAGCAGTTTCTGCCCTGGTGCCTGCCTGTTAGTTAGATTTACGTCCAGAGAATTCCTGGAGGTGTCGGGTGGGCAGAGGCTTCTGAGTACCTGGGGTGGAGGATGTTTTGTTTACAGCCTGGAACCCACCAGGCGGTCTCAGCCACATCAGCCGGCTGCCCTCCACGGCACACATCTTTGCTGGCTGGTTTTCTCTTGTCATAAAACTAGGTGGACAGAGAGGCTTTTCACCGAAGGATGATTTCCTTAAGGGAAGACATTGGCTTTTGGTTTTTGATGCTTTTGGTTGTGTTCTGAGTTTTTCATTGCACAGGGATGGTCCCACCAGGGAGCAAGGAGAAAGTCGGGGAGAACTTAAGTGTGTGCATCTTTGGAGAAGCAGGTGGCGGGGCTGTGTCTGAGATTTGGCCAAAATGGCCTTTGAAGGTGTCTGGCTTGCCCAGGTCCTGAGCTGTCTGTGTACTGCGGGGACTTGAGCTGCTCCTCCCCCAGAGGCCAGTCCTCCCAAAGACCCTCCTCTTCCAACTTCCTCCTTCTGGGTGGAAGGAGGCTGTCTCAGAGAGTCTGGTATGTTTCTCCTCTTTTCCACTGCTGGACACAACTGTTGCTGTACCTCCCCCGGCCCCAAGGAGGTGTTTCTTTGGGTAATCTTGTGCAACGGGGATCAGTCAGCAAACATCTTAAATATGCTTTAGGTGCTCAGCACCATACATCATTCTGAGAAGTCAAAAATTATTTAGACATAGCCCACACCCCTTAAACATTTATAGTCTAGGGGAGCCTGTGTGGCTTTGTTAGTTAAGCGTCCAACTTAGGCCCAGGTTATGATCTCATGGCTCGTGAGTTCAAGCCCTGCATTGGGCTCTGTGCTAACAGGTCAAAGACTGTTTTGGATTCTGTTTCCCCCTCACTCTGCTCCTCCCTGCTTGCACTCTGTCTCTCTCTCAAAAATGAATAAACATCAAAAAAATAAAAAAAAAAATTCTTTTAGAGTCTAGTTGTGTAATGAATTAAGTGATGACAGTATTACAGGAAGCAGTAGGAGTGGGGCATCAGGTGGCTGATTGTAACCCAAGGAGGGCTGTTCAGCCTCCCTGTTTCTGGAAGATTCTCTGTGTTCAGACCAGATGGCAGCTCCAGACAGGCCCAGCTGTCTTTCCTGCCTTGGACTCTTCCTTCCGGACCACTTCTAGCCTAGTTTCACTTCCCCAACTTTTCTCCTCTTCCTTCTCTTTCTTGATTGAGTTAATGGTAGATCTGTCTTCTCCCTCTCTGGGCTCTCCCTGTGTCTCAGCAGCACACCTGATCTCCTTCCTTTCTGGAAGCTTCCTTCCTCCTGGGCAGAGGGGAGTTGAGGCCAGTCTGCCTCCTGCAGCTTTCTCACCGCACAGATTATCCTTCCCGGGCTCCCTCATTTGAACTTGGTAAGATGAGTTCTGTTTCTGCAGATGGGTCAGCTGTGTGTGCCTGCAGCCGGGGAGGGATTATGTACCTAGTTTGTTAAGAGACCCAATGGTGCCTTCTCTTTGGCTGCTCAATTACCTTGAAATGTTTCAGGTAAAGAAATGAGGCTTTCTTGAACCTTTCTCTTAAAAAACACAATTATGTTTTTTAAAGAATGAGATTCGCAAACTGGTGTACCTGAAACGTCACAAAATGATAGAGGCGTTCAACATTCTGAAAGTCAAGGTGGGCTCAGAGTATGTGGTTACGGAGGCCCAGTGGAGGCGGCTGGCCAAGGTCGTGGCGCCACACATCAGCAGTCCCCACCTGGAGCTCCTCTTGAGGATCTCCGACGAGGGACAGAAGGGGCACGTGGGTAAGAAGGCTTGGCCACTGACATTCCTCTTGGCTGTGTGTTCAGAAGTGGGCAACTCCTGGGGCGCCTGGGTGGCTCAGTTGGTTGAGTGTCTGACTCCTGATTTCGGCTCAGGTCACGATGCCAAGGTTGTGGGATCGAGCCCCACATCAGGCTCTGCACTGAACATGGAGCCTGCTTGAGGTTCTCTTTCTCTCCCTTGCTCGTGCTCTCTCTTTCTCTAAAATAAGAAATAAATTTTTAAAAAAGTGGGCGGTTCCTAAAAGTGATTCCCAAAACAACAATACTTCTTAAATTTGCAAATAAAAATGTATATTGGCATTCCCTGCTGGCAATAATCCAGGTCCTCCAGCTGTGGTCTGAGGGTCATCCCTGTTGGGAATTGTCCACATGGGCCATCCCAAAGCCCTTTTCTGTAACAGTTATTCCGCCGCTGATTCTGCTTTAGGAACATAATCTAAAATCCGAAGAGAGCTATAGAAATAAACATCTACATTGCATTCCATATTTGAAAGTAAAAAGTTGAAAGTGACTTAAAATTCATGTATTAATGGTTGGTGGCCTTTATGAATAACGCTTTGTATCTGTGGCACGCTTATCATGTGTGAGCTGTTGTCGGGACTGTGTCCTGCATGTGGTATGTATGTACACGATCGTCCTTCGCCCTGACTCACTGAGGTGGGGATTTTTGTTATCCTCATTGGTGAATATGGAGACTGAGACTGGGAGAGGTTAAGTAGTTTGCCCAAGGCCACGCAGTTGCAAAGTGATAGAGGCCATCTGACTCCAAGGCCCGTGCTTTATACCATTGTGCTAAACTGCCCTAAATTCTGATAGTCACATAATGGGAAATTTTGGTGACATTAACAATGACTGTGAAGATAAGATAGCAATTCAAAAAGATGCAAGGTGACTGAAATACATCCCAAACTGTAAAACACCCTCATTTCACCTGTTTCAAGAAAAGTCTAGATGGAAACACACCCAAAGGGAGTGGTAGGTGTGACAGGATGCAAGTTTATATGAGATAAGGATGCTCAAACTAGTCCCAGCCTAGTCCCTAGGCCTCATTAGGGCTCCGTGCATGTGTGAGAAGGAAAGAACAGTGACTCCATGAAAAAACGAGAGTGAAAAGAAATGGACAGTAGGACACTGCTAAGTGGGGGGTGTCCATGTCTTCCAGGGAGAGTTTTGGGCCCAGGATGGGGGAAGGCCTTTGCCCTCTTGAATTAGCAGGATTTGGCTTCCTGAGCCCTGAACATGTCTCCTCAGCCCCTGATTCGATGTTGTGGCTCCGAGTGTCTGGTCCGGAGCCAGGCTTCTCAGAGCCTGAATGGCTGGCTTGGTGCCCCCATTAGGGAGCATTGGGGGTTGCTGGTGCCCTTAAGCATGCCGGGCTTAGGGTTCTGCTAATGGTGGAGAAGGGCGACGGGTGCCTGGGAACCCCTGAGCACAGTGCTTCCTAAGCTGTGAGGTCGTGAAGTGTTTTCATTTCCAACCGGTCATAGATGAATACTTTGGTAAAATAAGGCAAAAATCAATACTCAGAAGAATGCAAATAAAAAGTGTAAAATCCAAGTCCCATTTTTTTTCATCATTAGAGTCTGTTGACAAGACCCTGGCAACTATTCTACAAGTTTCTGTATTCGGCACTTATCCCACAGAGGGCGGGGAAGACACGGACAGGACCCGCTGTGGTCCAGGAACATCTGTTTGAGGACCACTGCTCTTGAACTTAGAGGAGAGGGTTGGGACTTGGGTTCCCTTGGATGTCCGTCCCCAGAATCGGGGTGAAGTGGCTGGTCATTTCAGTCCAGGTGTTCCCAGACTTTGGCCCCTCTGGTTTTGAGAATTCTGCTTTGACGGTTTAGTACGTCTTCTGCTTCTAGATGGTTGGGACTCTGAACATGTTGATGAATCTTTAGGGCTTTATCAACTTTCTTTGTAATTCCTTCTGTAAAATGAATTCCTGGATTGTTATTAAAAGGTGAGGGGGCGCCTGGGTAGCTTAGTCGGTTGAGCGTCTGACTTTCGCTTAGGTCATGATCTCGCAGTTCGTGGGTTTGAGCCCCGCGTCGGGCTCTGTGCTGACTGCCGGCTCAGAGCCTGGAGCCTGTTTCAGAGTCTGTGACTCCCTCTCTCTCTGACCCTCCCCTGCTCATGCTGTCTCTCTCTCCTAGAAATAAAGAAAAAAAAAGAAAAAAAAAAAAGGTGAGATGTTTCAAAACTAGGGATGGAGGCTTTTCAGACTCTTTGTCAGGCATGGGGAGGCCCACACACTTGGGTACCTCTTGCTCATCCAGAGAAGATACGCAGGATCCCCAGGACATACTCACATGGATGTTTCTTTGTTGATAAGGTCAGTCCAACTCTTGATGGTTGTTTCCCAAGTGGGAGCATGAACTGCCTTTTTTTTGGTCTTGACAGCTTCTTCCATGTTCTGGGCTGTAAGTAGGGTGGATTTTCAACGATATCGTTCAGTTGTGGCAGGGTAAATATGGAGGGCACCAAACACATCCAAGTTCTCCTGGCACCCCTACTCGTTTGGATGTAACATTCCATGAATTACATGAGGAAGAGGAGGGAGATGTTCTTTGATGCTACCGCAAAACTTTCTGGAGAATGCCAGTGGAGATCTGGGTGCAAAACACCACCACCACCATGTGCCCATCTGCAGAGGCTCTTTTCCGAATGTGGGTTGTGATCTTGCACAGGGTGAGGTCTATAAGGGTTACCAAGGGAGGCTGGCCAGTGACAAAAGGGAGCAGAGGAGCATGAGAACGAGGCACGGCCAAAGTCGACTCTGCTGTAGAATGTTTTCACGCTGCCAGGAACAGCCATAGCAAGAGGAATGTGTAGACCAGTTGACATTATAACTGTTCCAGAAGTGAGAGGCCTCACGTGGAGGAGCATTAAATCGATTTGGATTAAAATTTTAAATTACCTTAATTTGATTAATGAAGTAATTTTATAATGTTTTAAGTTTTGGTCAAATGTCTTTAGATTTAAACTTTTTAACCAGATCTTTAAAATGAATCTTTTTTAAATTAAAAAAAAACAAATAAATTATTAAAAAATAAAATAAAAATAAATAAAATGTATATTTTTACAAAAAAATAATTAAGGTTATTACCCCCTCTCCCCACCAATGGACTCTCTGCAATTACTAATTGTGGCTCTATTGTTAAGTGCATGTCTTTGTAAAAAAATTTCTTAACTAGGTGCAGGCGATAATAGTAAATAAAGTTAGATGGTTTCCATCCAATTTTCTTAAAAACTTACAGAAATGCTATTGAAGTTTGTTGTTTTATATCTTTCATAATCATAGGGGCCAGACTTTATAAACCAATTTGTTAGTTCAAGGTTTTATTTGGAAGGCAAGTGTGTCAAACAGAAAATCATTTTAAGATTGATCCACATAACATTTAATTTCTTTACCACTTTTAATATGTGTGTGCAAGCTAAGAGTTTGTCACAGCCTTTGTTAAAAGAAGAAAAAGCAATCGTTGAGCTTGAAATTCCTTTTTTTCCCCCACCCTGGTGGGTATTTTTGTTTATTAGTTTTGTTTATTTTTTTATAGGATGGCACATTTAAAGTATAAAGAATTTTTCATCAATCTCTTAACTTGGGGAGAATTTTTAGGGCTCCATTCAGAATTTAAGGAATGAAGTGTTTGCTTTAAGACAACGAAATTAACAGTTCGTTGAGAGATACTGCCCTGCTGTACCGGTTTGCCAGGCCTGCCAGAACACGGTACCGCACACTGGGTGGCTTAAACAACAGAAATTTATTTTCTCACAAGTCTGGAGGCCAGAAGTCCAAGATCAACTTGTCAGCAGGATAGGGCTCTCCCCTTGGCTTGCAAACGATTGCCTTTCTGTGGCTTCACGTGGTCTTCCCTCGGTGTGTGTCTGTGTCCTAATCACCTCCTTTCTCGTGAGGACACCAGTCATACTGGATTGGAGTCCACCCAGTGACCTCGCTTTAAGTTACCTCTTTAGAAGAGGCCCCTCGCCAAACGGAGTCACTCCCTGGGGCCCTTGGCAGTAAGGTTTCGACATACTAATTTTGAGGGGACACAGTTCCGCTCATAACACCTATGTTTCTGGTTCTGGCCATAGATTGTTACGCTCCTTGAGAACTTTCTTCTGTCTAGGGTTAACTTCCCTCACCCCTCCACACAGCTAATCTTTGAAACCTTGAGTCATACTGTCACTTTGTCAAAATCTTAGACTTGAGAGCATTTGCTCCTGGAAGACAGAACCGCAGTGGTTTTCTCTCATCTGCTGCAGACTTTCCTGTTCATGCCATGTGACCCCTTCGTCCAAGGCTCCAGGGCCGCAGATGGCACCGCATTAACTCACCTGAATGTAATGCTCTTCTTTTCTCATGGCCCTGCAGACATTCAGCAGAAGTAGCTCATGCCCTTTTGAGCAGGTTAGAGGCAGGTGGAGGAGGTAGGCATACACCCTCGAGGCCACCCACAGGACCCTGCTCTCTATTGGCTGCCTCATGATTTGGAGCCAGCAAGAGGTCTGGGTCCTCAGCCCTTAGTTCTGAGCACTTCAGAGATGTGGCAAAAACAAAGTGCCAATGAGCTTATGGCTCAACAGACTTCCCAGTATTTTACGTTTTACCAAACAGCGGTGTTGATGTAAATATTGTTACCATGGGGTTGCACCTGGGTGGCCCAGTTGGTTAAGCATCTGACTTCAGCTCAGGTCACAATCTCATGGTTCTTGGGTTTGAGTCCTGCATCGGGCTCTGTGCTGACAGCTCAGAGCCTGGAGCCTGCTTTGGATTCTGTGTCTCCCTCTCTATCTGCCCCTTCCCTGCTCATGCTCTGTCTTGCTTTCTTTCTCAAAAATAAACATTTAAAAAATTAAACATTTTTACCAAGGCAAACACACCTTTATAGAAGACAGACAATAAGATCTATTGGCTTTTAAGGATCATAGGTTGTATTTTACAGGATATAGCAGTAATTTCTAATGTCTCGTCCAAAAGACTCCTGTGTTTAACTAACACTTTCAAACACAGTTTTATTTGTTTTTATTTATTAAAATTTTTTTTTAGTGTTTATTTTTTTGAGAGAGAGACAGTGTGAGCAGGGGAGGAGCAGAGAGAGAGGGAGACACCAAATCGGAAGCAGGCTCCGGCTCTGACCTGTCAGCACAGAGCCCCATGCGGGGCCCGAACTTGTGAACCACAAGATCATGACCTGAGCCGAAGTTGGGCGCTCTACTGACTGGGTCACCCAGGTGCCCCTCAAAGACAGTTTTAATAATAGAAAGTTGACAGAGTTACATGCTTCACAGTGATCTCCAGTACTTCTGTGAACATTCTCACTCTCCCCCTTGGTCAGGAGTTATGAGCATTGTGGTTTCTAAGGCTAAACACTGGAATTTTATTAGTACTCAAAGTGTTAAAACTTAATCCAGTATTAAACTTACAAAGCTTACATATATGGGAAGAAAACAAAGAAAATATGGAGAGAATAACATAGCTACAGCAGGGTTGGAAGACTATGGTCCACAGGCTAAGTATGGCCCACCACCTGTTTCTGTAAATAAAGTTTTATTGGAACACAGCCAGGCTCATTCATTTATGTATTGTTTATGGCTACTTTCATGCTACTCAGCAGAATTGAGTAGTTAAAACAGAGATCATTTGACCTATAAACCTCACCTAATTACTGTCTGGCCCTTTACAGAAAAAGTTAGCTGACTTCTGATCTCCAACATCGAATGTCAGATGGTTAGAAGTTCCTTCTTAACACAAAATTACTATGATTTTGATTCTCTTTGTTTTTTCTTGTTCTACTGAATCTTCCGGATTAAAAGATGTGAACCCAGTGAGACATAGATTCCCTTTTGGTATAAGTTATTTAGTGAATGATGTTTTGGCTGGATTCCCTGTCTGTAGGTCATCCATCTCCTACCCAGGCCTGTCATGTCATTGTTCCCCTAACCGCTGGTGGTAGAGCTCATGCAGCCCAGGTCCCTAGATCCAAGCTACCCTGGCACATAATTCCCCAAGGCTACATTTCTGCTTGAACAGGTGTTACATGCTTTTGGCTATTAAGACATGTATGTATATTTTCTTTCTCCTGAAGAGCCAGGAGCTTGAATATCCTAAGATATCTGTGTGTGTCTTTTCATCTAACTTGATGGGCTCCTGTTCTTTCGTGTTCTTAGGATCATAAAACTGTTAGGGAAAATAGCAACATGAGTGTGTAACGTCACTCAAGGCTGTGTCTGATTCAGGCTCCTCACTCAGATGAGGCTACACTTATGATAGGGCTGAAGGCTGGGTTTCTGCTGACGGCAGTTCCTTGTCGTCTTTCTTGCATAAGCCACACTGTGGTGACAGGTGTATAGCCATCATTCATCGTTTACTCCCGAAAATTGGCATGGAGATGCGGACATCTGCCAGGCTCTCTGAATGAGAAGCCTCCCGGGACTTAAAAACACCTGCCCCAACTTTGCCCGTTGTCTCAGCTGGACCCAGTCTGCACCAGCAATTTATATTAGCAGCTTTTGGTAAATTTTCCAAACGTCGACTTCGTTTCTAAACTCCAACTTTGTTTTCGAAGAAAACTTGGAAGGAAGTTGTAAGAAGTTATAGGAAGAAGCAGCAACATTCTTTATGTGCCCTGATTTGATCTGTTGATGTGATATTCTTTAGGTTGTACGGAGCAGGAGGTCATCCATGAGCAGGGTTGACAACCAGCCCAGTTGACTCGTGGCCGGCATCTGACCTGTCTGGTTGGGGAGAGGTGTGTGGGGTGGTGGAAAAGAGCCTGCTGGCCCTGGGCATTCGGTGGGTCTGGAGAACACCAGCTCAGCAGTTGCACGGGGCCAGGCCGGTCAAGAAAGCCCCAGTGAATCTTGGCCTAGCTGGTGAGCCAACTTGTGGAGAAAGCTGTTGATTTGAGGGAATCCCCGAGAAGGGGCAGAGAAGAGTAGGGGCGTGAGGTGAAGGGTGTGGATTATGCCTACCTTAGAGGCTTGGTGGAGGGAGAGGGGAAGTGGAGTTGAGGCTGGATAGGCAAGTCAGGAAGATGCTGAAAGCAGGGGTGGCCCACGTGAGGAGGAAAGTGGGTGGAAGGCAGGGCGTGAGGTCGCGGCATCGGTGAACTGGCGAAATCACATGCTCCGGTTGGGTGGCTTGGGTTGGTTGCAGGTCTGAGTGAGGACAGGTGGGGGGGCTCTGCACTTGCTGGCCCCTTGGCCTTGGCCCTTCACCCTTTTGAGCTTCAGATCTTCACCTAGGAAATACAGATCTAAGAGTCTGTGCTGATTTGGCATCACCCTTTGAACCTTAGCGACACGGTGGCTGTGTATTGGGGATCTTTTTTTTTTTTTTTCCATTGCAGACAAAGTGAACTTTCTGCGCTTGCCTGATCTCCTCAACATTCAGGTGGTCACCATCAACATCAAGAGACACCCACTGGAAGACTGGATGCCTCGGGTATACCAGTCGTCTGCAAGCCTCTTGGTCCAGAGGATGGTTCGGCACAGGCAAGTGAGATGGGGCCAGTTTTCTCCCAAGTTCCTTTCAAAATGGGGGAGTTTGCAAATGCTGTCTGGGCTGAATACGTTTCATTATTGAAGTTATAAATCCGCCCCCTGCTTGCTGCTTTTGGTTTCTCAGGGAGGCTTCCAGATGTGTTTCATCAAAAGGACAGGCTTCTCGATTATGCTTCCTTCTGCCCTATTTCCTAAGATGCCTGAGGGCCACAGACTAGATGTGCTTTCTGAGCCAGAGAAACTGACCGCTCTCTGAAATCAGAAGATTCTAGCCCCATTCAGAGTCATTAGGAAGTTGATGTCAGATACGTCACTTTGACTTTGTAAAGTATGTGGTAAGAACTCATGAATCAGGGTTATCGGAACGGTTGTTAAGAAGACCGTTAATTCTTTTATTCTCAAGCAAATGGACTCCAGAAAAAGGGATTCATTCTGGTTGCAGATATTATATTTCAAATGCGTGGCCTAGAGTACCCTTCTCATCAGAGGCTCTTTGAATGTAATGTTTCATAGAAGAGAATGGTTCAGAAGTCCCTGACAGTGTCTCAGCCTGTGACGTCTCCCTTGTAGCTGCCCGTATTTGATATTTCTCAAAGCCCTTTATGTAGAGGTTTCTTCCCATTACTCCCAGCCTTGAATTGCTGATGTGCTTCATGCACTGGATGTTTGTGTGTCCACGTGTGGTATTCTAGGTCTAGAGCTTCACGGAGAACAGTGTGGTAGGAGCCCCTCTTGACTTCCCAAGGGGTCACCCAGGGTTCCCTGAGTCACAGGGACAGGTGCCTGAGTAAAGCAACCTGCTCCATAATTGAAAAGTTGGGTCAGAGCCCAGCTGTCATACTTTTTAACCCATCTGTTCCCAGACTTGGCGAGCAAGATGGGCATGTCGGTCCGCTGGAAGGCTGTGCGCATGAGGTGTGAAGCGGCTCCCAGAAGCTTTCTTAGTTAAGGATGCTAATTTTCGAGGGACAAGTACTTGAGGTGTAATGATCCCATGTGAAGCCCTAAGCCCTCTCCTTGCACCAGTTCTGCCTAAGCTTTCACCGAACCCAGGGATCATGCCCTTAGAGGGGAACCTGGGAAAACCATGCCTCTATCCCCCCTGCTTGCTAAGTCTTCATTTTCTCCTCGGCTGTAAGGGCTACACCAGTGTTAGGGGGAGGCAGGGGAATTTCAGCACTCTGGCTGTGCCGGAACCTTGACTTACTTGAGGCACAAATGTGCACTTGTGTGTGTGTGCGTGCATTGGCAGGATGGGGCTTGAGGGGCATCTCATTTTCATCGCACTGCTGGGGAACAAAGTAGCCCCTGCAAGGCTCTGAACATGCTCCTGTTACTGAAATGTGTGATGACAGGGTCTCTTCTTCCCTCACGGCAGGATTTTTGTCTGGGTTTATGATGTCATCATTCTAATAAATGCCATATTCATTGCTCTGGACGAGAAAAACCCCTTCATTTCCTACGCAGAATGGCTCTTCCTTTCTCTCTATGTTATTGAAATTCTCCTGAAACTGTACACATATGAGCCCAGAGCCTATTTTGGCAGAAAGCAGTTCTGGAACTGGTGAGCACATGTGTTCTGGGGTGGCGGGGGTGTGGGGGGTGGGGGTGCAGAGGCCGCCGGCGACGAAAGGGGGCTTTCTGTCAGTGTGGGGAACATTGTTGTAGTTTTCCAAGCACTAGCTGCCTAGTTTGGGGGCATCTTATAATGAAATCTTGGGGCTGTGGAAAATTCTGGTTCAGGCAAAGCTGTTATTTATGACGTCCATTTGACTCTAGCTAAAATTAGAATCCCAGCTCACGGCATCCTGGATTTGGAAAGGATCTTAGAACATCTACCCAATGAGGCAATTACTTCCATAGCTCCCTCGGCCCACTCCCTGGGCTTTTTATCAGAGAAGCTTGCGGGTGTGGCTGGACAGCGTGACCATTAGCAAGCTTTTCCCCCACATGGGATGTGTCACCTGGAGCCTTTTCTTCTCCAGGCTGTGTACCTCTGGGTCTTGAACCATCACCCACACGCTGCAGACCATCTCAAAGGCCACCGTGTGTTAGGAATTACAGGACACAAAGATACAAGGCACACGCCTATCTTAAGTAGGGCACAGCTTGGCGGGGTTGGATCTCAGTGGTCACCGCTCTCGGCACCCGGAAACTCACTGGGATGCACGTGTGGCCAGAGAGGAACTAGTTATTCTTGTCCAGTGTTTTGGCAGGGCTGTCCTTCGATACTGTCGTCAGGAAAAAAAGTAACAGTGTGATGAATTTCCCCTTTAATTAAAAAGTTACAATGCACTCAGTAAAATTAATACTAAGAAAGATTATGCTATGTGTTCTGAAAACGTGTAAAGTATTCTTGGAAGGACACAGTAGAGCCCTGGATGGTGAGTTACTTGTTCTGGAGTGTTCTGCAAGATGAGCATACATTTCTGATAAATTTTAACTTGATAAATGAGAGATGTCTTGCAATACAAGTAGTATGTGATGCCGAATATCACGTGATCACAACTGAACAAATGGTTCTTGAAACTCACTTTGATATCCAAGTGCTTTGGATCACAAACATGTTTCTGGAATGAATTGTGCTCACAAACCAGGGTTTTACTGTACATCGTTATTTGTTAAGACAAAGTGATAGGAATTGGTTGGTTGCTATGAATTCCCTTGGGTGGTTCATTGGAGCAGCCGGTGAATGGTCATTGGATCATTTAAATGTAGTATTTCTTGCTTCATCTCCACTATTCTAAAAATTATGGAAATCAGTTTCCTGGCTGGATCACTGCTCTGCATGAGACCGGATTTAAAGTTTTCTTGGGGTCAGTTGTGTCCTGACAGGCCTTTCCCTTGTCCTTCACCAACTTTGCTTCTGCACCGTTAGGTTTGATATGCTGATCATCATCGCGGCCCTGGTGGCCACTGTGGCCAACACCACCATTCAGTCAGGTCAGTGCCATGGGCTATCGGCTTCACCACCTCCTGGGATCGTGCCTTCAATTAGTAGACTTTGTGGAACATCCACCGTGCACCATTGAGGTGTTTGGGATGAGGCGGCGGAGGCACAAGAGAATTTGTAAAAGTGTTCCATGTTCCGAGAGGGATGGTAGCTTTGTTTGTGGTTAGCTGTATATTAGAGATTTCATTTGTATACGTCCATCATACCAGATACCAATCTGGTCACTTCCTCTCCAAAACCGCCCTCGGTCTCATGGCTTAACCTCCATGCCTATGACCCCCTGCCCGTCTTGGCCCCCTCCCAGGGTCCAGCTGTAGCTGGAACTCTGCATCGTCCCTTGCCCACTGCTCTCTTGTGTCTGCACGCATATTCCACCACCACTGTGCACACGCCTGTCCTGTGCTGTCCTGTGGACGGCAGAGGGGTTATTTAGAGACAGTGCAACTTCCCGTCGTCGTCGTCTTTCTTCTTCTCCTTGTTCTCCTCCTCCTCCTCCTTCTTTTCTTTTTCCTTTTCCTTCTCCTCCTCCCCCTCCCCCTCCTCCTCTTCCTTTTTCTTCTCCTCCTCCTCCTCCTCCTCCTTCTTTTCCTTTTCGTTCTCCTTCTTATCCATCTTCTTCTCCTTGTTGTTGTTCTTGTTCCTGTCTGCTGCTTCTTTTTCTTTTTCTTCTTTGTCTCCGTCTCCATCTCTGTCTCCTTCTCAAGTTTATTTATTTAGTTTAAAAGGAGAAAGAGAGGTGGAGAGAGAGGCAGACAGAGAATCCCAAGCGGGCTCTGTGCTGAGCCCAACCCCCACCCACCAAAACAGGGCTCAATCTAACAAACCGTGAGATCATGACCGGAGCCGAGATCGAGATTCAGACGCTTAACCTACTGAGCCACCCAGGTGCCCCAGGATGGTGCAGCTTCTCAACATAACTCTATGAAATGAATATTGGGGAAGGAAGGGCTTGTTGAAATGTGTTCTGTAGAACCTGAACCACAGTCATTTCTTAAAGGCGATGTGAAGTCTACACCTACTCTCCTGATTCCCCAGCTCCAGGGATGAAAGGAAAGGCCTGGTGTGGCTTGGCTTTGCTGGGGGAGTGAGTGATTCAAGACAGCACTTCCTTCCTCATTTTCAGAGCCACAGTTCTGTTCTTGAAGCCGCATCTCTGCCCACTACCTACACTCTCAGACCTCACTGAATAAAAGAGACGAGCCAGGGGCACTCGCAAGACGGAATGTTAAATGATTGTGTTTTTTTTTTTTTTTTAATTTCCTAGCAAGAAAATACAACAGTCAGCAGATACTGGATATTGTCTTGATCTTGAGGATACTCCGGCTCTTAAGGATCATTGTCAGCATTCAGAGGTAAAGATGGAGTGACACGCACTCTGGTGGCTCCCACACTGGAGCCTGCTGGAAAGCACTCCTGCCTCGGAACTCTCACCACACCCCATTACAAAGCCGGAATGTAACCTGTATGGACCTGGCATTCCCTTGGCGCGGTGGGGCAGGGAGGGAAGTCTGAGGATGGCGACGCACGCTCACCCAGCAGCTCCCAGAAGGCAGGCCACTAGCCTGGCATCAGTTTCACTTTGCGGCTTCCCTTGTCCCGCCCTGTGCCAGAGACTTTGTTTTATCCTAGGTTCCGGGTTATCGTGACGACCTTAATTAACATTGGGCCCACGATACTGACGTTTGGCGGACTCGTGTTGGTAAGTGGCTTGTTCTTGGTGCTGTTCTACGTGAAGTACGTGGTAAGATGCTCATTCTTGGCCACTCTCTGTAAGCCTTATTTTAAGTGAGGATAAGAAAGGGAGATTAAGCAAATGAGACTCCCTGGTTTCGAGTAGTCCTTTTTAGAAATATCCGGTGCCTGCCAACACTGGGCAAACACCAGTTAGGGCACACCGGCTACCGTGACAGACACCAGCGCATTAACACAGTCATAGTTACTCTCTCGCGCACACTCTAGGTGGGTCTTCCTGGCCAGCAGGTGCTTCTCAGGGATGCAGGCTCCTTCTGGCTCATGGCTGTGCCCCAACCCCACCTCCCCTCAGGGCTCAGATCCTTCTTTGTTCTGCTTGGGGATACAGCCCGCCTGCTCCTCAGATCTCCAGTGGTGACAACACAGGCACATCAGGGGTGCCGGTGGGGGGTGTCTCCCGTCCAAGAGAGGTTCTGCACCATGAACAGGGGGGCTCGGATACTGGTGGACACTTGTAATTTTCGTTTCTGTTATCACAGTGAGAAATCCTGTTAATAGAATAGAATGAAAGATAGACTTCCAGTCACCCATTTCCATACCCCACATGCCTCTTTCCCAGATACAACCCTTATTAAACGTTTCTTGTTACTCTTCCTCAATATCTCGAGGTCTGCAACAAGCATATCATAGGCAGGCATGTCTGTATCTAGGTTATTGTTCCGTCTAATGGAATAATCCACAAAACGTTGCACAACTTTCCTCCTTCTAATATCTTTGTCATATGTCCTGGAGGACACGTGAGTCTGTGTAGGCTCTGTTGTGATCAAGTGTCCCGCTGAGGGAAGACTCCGGAACACATCTGACCAGCCCCTCTACTGACAGACTACTAGGTGGTCTCACCTTTTTGCCGTCACAGCCGATGTGGTCAGGGCCATCCTTGTACACACCTTAGGGTGCATCTGTGCCTATCGGGTGTGTTCTTGGATGTAGATCTGCTAGGTCAACAGGTAAATGTGTTCACACTTTGGATAGATGTGGCTGTTGCCTTCCAGAGGCGTGCTCCCTGTGTATCCCAAACGACAGTGCGTGACAGCCAGTTTCTCAACACCCTTCGCAGACAGGGTTTATTAAACACTGCCCTGTCTTCCAGTCTGCCAGGGGAGAAGGTGCCACCGTGGTGCTTTGATATTCATTTCTGTCACATTTCATGAGGCTGAGAACTTTCTCCATGTTCTTTTGGACACTTTTGCTTATTTTACTGTATGCACCGTGTTTGTATCTTTGGTCCACTCTTCAATTAGTTCTTAAATATGATTTGCAGGAGTGTTTTGCCGATCAAAGAAATCGGCTATTGGTAAGTTGTTCATAGTGTAATTACTTTTCCTTCTTTGTCACTTGTGTTTTGAGTTTTTCTTTCTTACATAAATGTTTTTTGGGTATATTATATATTTAGTATGTTTTGTTGCCTATTTTGGGGGCTGTATAAAAATTTAAATTAATTATATAGTCATATTTGTTAGTCTCTTATTTTACAGTATCTCATTTTTATATCATGCGTAGGGGGGCCTTTTCCTACTCATATTTTTTTTTCCAGTTCCTTCATGGTTCGTTTTTTACATTTGACCCTTTGGAATTTATTTTGGTGTAAAAAAACAGGGTAAAGACACGATGGTTTTATTTTTTCCTGGGGGACCAAGCATTATTTATTGAGGATTTAACCCACTAACTTGCTAGCAGCTTTGGTTTTGACGTTGTGTACCCATGGGAGAGATCACGGTGTGGCCTAGTGGCGGTGTGTCCCTCCCCTGTCCCTCCACGGACAGCTCAGTCTTCTCCAGCAGAATAGCCGATCGGTCCCCCCCCCCCCCCCCCCCCCGCCATCCCACCCCCACCCTGTCACTGCTCGGGACTCGATGGAGAGGGCAGCCCTATCTGCTGGGCGGACGGACCAGCCCTGCCCGCACCTGCCTGTCCCCCACGCCCCTCGCGCCGCGATTCTGCAGCTCGGTGCGCCCCCTGGTGACCCGGACTGCGGTCCTAGGTGGTCTACTACGTGTTCGCTGTCATCGGGATGGAAGCGTTCCACGGCAAAGTCCGGTTCTTGGACCCGAATTTCACCAGTCCTGATGCTCTGGTGTGTGGGAACCCAGCCTTGAAAGATTCGGCATTTGCGCGAGACAGGTACTGCAAGAACAACTTCAACGACCTGGCCTCCTCGTTCATCTTGCTGATGGAGCTCACGGTGGTTAACCAGTGGCACAATATCCTTTCTGCCTCGCGGGGGCGCTGCCTGCTCCCTGGGGTGGGGCGGTGTGGGCGCCGAAAGGGACTTCCGGGGGCATCCGGGGCACCCGCTGAGTTCCCTGAAGGTTGACGTCCTTAGCCTCCTACTCCTCGCAGGCGGCTTTGCCCTCGTGACTCACCAGGCGGCAAAGCTGTACTTCATCGGCTTCCACATCGTGGTCGTCATCCTCATCGTTAAGTGAGTTTGCTCCGCGTGTTGGCGATTCCTCATCTCCGCCCTGAGAACATGTGACCGCTTGACCTCCCTTCTCCCGTGTTCCATCCACCTGCTACACGTTGTGGGTAGGCACTGGGAGGAAGGAGTCCTACGTGTGTCCACATTTGTGTTCCTCATTGCCTGCCAGTGCCGCGCACCCCTGTGCACAACAAGCGTCTCATAGTCTCAGAGGTGATTTGGGTCAGAAGGACTCTGGGGTCCTGGCCGGTCTCCCTCCCCTTCCCGCCCAGACTGAATCCCTTTAGAGCATCCCTGTGAAGGCCCATTACCCTCGGCTCCAATCCACCCATCCGCTGGCTCCTTCAAGCCTCGGAGTCTGTTCCCTTGTGCAGCTCTGGTCCCTTGCTGCCCTGGCGTGGGTACAACGGAACTGTGTCCCCTTATACTGACCCTTCGTTGGTCCCAGTTCTGGTCCTGGCCCCTCTTCCAGGAGAGAACTCAGCCACTCCAGAGGGTTTCCGTTCCAGCTTCTGTTCGTGCTTAACAATCTCTGGTTCTAGCTCCTTGGTTCCTTGTGGGGCCTGGAGCTGAGTCCCCTTGCTCACGGGAATTCTCTTCCAGAGAGGTTTCCTGACGGCCGTACCCCTCCCACAGTCTGGGGGCCTGCAGTCCTTGAGGTGACCTCCCAGCACCAGCACCTTCCTTGTCACAGCAGGCCTGCTTTGGCCAGCCACCAGTTTACGGACTTTGGCTCAGGAACGACTCAAGAATCCTGGCCGAGGGAGGCGAGGGGAAGAAGCCCCGTGGGTGGCTCTGATCAGAACTGCTCATCCTTACACAGCCTGAATGGAATACATAGTGGGAACGAGAGAAACACCTCTCTGGGTGGCTCGTACAGAGGTCGCTGGAGCTCTGGGACCCAGTAGGGCCAACAGCGTGAAAGGCCACAGGGATATTGCTGCTCCTCTCCTCCCAAAAGTATGTGGGTGCTGTGGGAGCTGTGGGCTCCATCATCACCACTGTTAAGTCAGAAATGGTGAAGGGTCTGCAGTGCCTCCCTGCTTGCAAGCCAGCAGGTCAATCTGTGTGTATGTGCCACGTGTACATACCAGTAGGAGCTACGGTGCCTTGGGTCAGAGACAAAGATGCTTTATTACTCATGGCAAAAGCAGCAGTAGAGCAATATCATGTTCCCAGAGCCTTCGTCTGCACTGAGCAGTGTGGTGAGCTGGGGTAGGAATGCAGGAAGGAGAAATGAGGAAACTGGTCCTACGTAGGGCTGCTGGGGGACCTGCCCACCCTCTCCTCTGGAGAGGAAGAAAGGGACTTTAGTTTCACCTGGAATGGAAGCAGATTCCCAGAGAGGGCAAGGTGAGTCTTTGCTGCCCTGGGATGTCTCTGGCAGGAGGCATTGTTAAGCTTTATATCCTGGAATGTCTCTGCAGATAAATAATTCCTTAATTGACCCTCCGTGCCTTTGCTCAGACAGCCCAGACTATGCAGCAACTTGAGATATTCATAGAGAACTGTCTAGCAACAATTATTTGGCCTAAGCTTCCCTAGAAACAAATCCATTTTCTTTTTAATATTCACTGTTTAAAGAAGAAGGATTTTCCAAATGAATGAAAGTTGTACCCAATCCTCAAGAGATGTTGTGTTTGTCACTCCTCCCTTCTCTGTTTTCTTTGCAACAATTGTCTGCCTTTTTATTGAGGCTCATACACTCTTTGAGTCACCTGTCACCTAGACCTCAGCTAATGCCCTCTACCTCTTCCTCTTTCCCAGTATTTTCATAGCATTCATCTTGGAGGCATTTTTTGTGGCATATTCCTTAGAGAAAAGTGAAGTAGAAACTGCTATCGAGAAGAAGATTCAAGAGCTCGGAGTGGGAATCCAAGAGTGAGTAGTGTGTTCCCCTTCATGTAGCTCACAGACCTTTAGAAGTGGACTGACCACGTTTAATCTCGAAGTGTCCCGTGGCACCCAGCCTGGGTCCTGTGGGCCAGTTCTGGACCTTCACTGACCAGAGCCCTGGATGTGGCTGGACAGTAAACCTGGGGCTTCTGCTGGGAGGACACGTGAGGGACTCAGCTGAGGGACCTGACCTTGTTCATGTCTCTTCCTTCTTGAAGAGAAGAAATGCAGGATGGGAAGCTCATTGATAACGTGGATGCCAAGGACAGTGGCTTCAGTGGGGAAGATGGAGACAACAAAAGGAAGGACTTGAAAGGCTTGTACTTCAGAATTGCATCGAAAAGTAAGTTTTAGGGGCGCCTAGGTGGCTCGTTGGTTAAGCATCTGACTTTTGATTTCGGTTCAGGTCATGACCTCATAGTTCGTGAGTTCGAGATCCACATTGGGCTCCATGCTCTTATTGCAGATCCTCTCTCTGTGCCCCTCCCCTATTTATGCTCTCTTTCTCTCTCAAAATAAACTTTTTTAAAAAAGTAAGTTTTAACCCAATGCAAAACTTCCTCCAGTCCATGCTCCTCAATGCAGCCAGTGAGATGTTTCCCACATGCAAATCTGACCTTCGGTGGCTTAAGGATAAAGATAAGGTCAAGGGGTGCCTGGATGGCTCAGTCTGTTGGGCGTCCAACTTTGGCTCAGGTCATGATCTTGTGGTTCATGAGTTTGAGCCCCGAGTTCAGCTCTGTGCTGACAGCTCAGAGCCTGGAGCCTGCTTCAGATGTGTGTCTGCCTCTCTGCCCCTCCCCTGCTTGCACTTTCTCTCTTTCTCTCTCTCTCTCAAGAATAAATAAATATTAAAACTTCAAAAAAACAAAACAAAACAGACAAGGTCTCCTGTCATGGCCTCTGCAGCCCGTGTGCCTGGTCTCTCTTTCTCCCTCAGCCTTTCTTCCTTCCCTCTGTGACTCGCCACGCTGGCTGCATGCCATTGATCACTGAGTGACTGTTGGATCACCCTCTGTCTTCCTTATAGACCCAAAGTGTCCCGTGTGCAGGGCCAGGCCTTTTTGCTCTCCGTTGTATCCCCAGGGCCTCACAATGTGCCCGGGTCGTGGGGGCCTTAACAACCATTTCTTTAGCCACTTTACTCTCAGTGAATTAGCGGTTCGCTGGGTGACCCAGTGCAACCTGAACGTCAGTTTGCTCTTTGGCTGAGGTGCCTTCAGTAACCTCCGAGTGAGGAGCGCAGCACGGCTCGCGGGGGCAGTGGCGAGAGCAGGGCGCCCTTCCCAGGCGCCACCCTCCTCCGTCCTTCAGGGAGCACCTTCTCCTCGGTCTCTAGAGCATTGGACAGCTCAGGAGCCCGTGGGGTCTGCACCAGCAGAGATGAGTGATTCTTTCCTGACTTTTTCATCCTTTAGAGTGTTGGGCTAGCCACGCTAGCCTCGTCTTCGACTCAGGGGCCGTCCTTCTGGAAAGCCCAGCTCTGCCCTGGGGTTAGATTTTCCCCCTCCGGCCCCAACACATGCCAGTTCCATGTGCCTTTCTCCTTTGTCCTAGAGTACAGGACCGTGGACGCCTTGCTGCAGCAGATGTTTGAGTCTGAAATCGCTCCAGAGGAGGAAGGCCCTTCCTTGGATGAGATTCTGAACTTCTCACCCGGTGACATCTATCCCAAGAATCCCAACTTCGAAAACAGTGCGTGATCCTGGGCCTGTAAGGGCCGCATGTGGAAACCAAGCTAGGCTGCTGTCCTGTCTCGCTTATTCTGTCTGAGGTGATTTTCCTGGCCCGGGTCGCTCCGTGCTCTGACCCGCCTGCGCCTCGGCCCCGCGTGCCCCGAACCGTCAGCTGAAAGGTGTGGAAAGGCTGCTTCCGAGTGCCCCGCCTGCCGTTGTTCTGAGGTCTGATCAGAGCAGTAAGGAGGGGGAAATCTCTGAAGAGATTTTGAGGGGCACTTTTCATACACATGGACATATGTGTGTGAAGTCTCTTCAGGGGGCGTATAAAAGCTTTTCATTTATTTTTATACAACATATTGCTGTTCCATTAAATCCCATGCTACAGTGTTACGTGAATGAACTTCGAATATTTAAATACAATAAAGGAATATATCTAATATAGCAGCTTTTAGATGCGGTGTTTATTCAAAATGAGGGAAAACATGAACGTGAAAATAAAATTCTCTCTAAGCTGCTGCTTTTTCCAGGGAAGGCTATCAAAGCTTCTTAATGTTTATTTATTTTTGAGAGACAGAGAGACAGAGCATGAGCAGGGGAGGGGCAGAGAGAGAGGGAGACACAGAATCTGAAGCAGGCTCCAGGCTCCGAGCTGTCAGCACAGAGCCTGATGTGGGGCTTGAACACATAAACCGCGATATCATGACCTGAGCCGAAGTCGGACGCTTCAACGACGGAGCCACCCAGGCACCCCTCTCAAAGCTTCTTTAATGAAATCACATCGAGCTAGATTTTGAGTAAGTCAGTCTCCGAGGTCACTTTCTTCAGCTGGAAGTCCCCCAGTGCGGTGACACACTCCTTCTGGGAAATGAAAAGGGATTTATTTATTAATGGAATTTCTAACTGTGGTAAAATACTTGTAATATAAAGTGACCATCATAACCATTCTAAGCATATATAGTTCAGTAGTTTTAAGTACATTGACACTGTTGTGCAACAGATCTGCAGAACTTGTCTTCCCAAATGCGACTGCAACCGGGCAACCCTAACCCCCTCTTCCCGCTCCCCTCCCCGCCCCCCAGATGCTGGCAGCCACTATTCTACCTTCCGTCTCTAGGCGGCGCAACTGCGTTTTGAGCGAGCGTAACCCTTTGTGAGTTGTCAGGGTGTGACTCATTCTCCTGTGCCTTGTCACGGGCCCCACTATAAAGGGGTCCGTGACCTGAGATCCCTGAATGCAGTGAGGCCTGAGTCCTTGTCACGTCAGGGTGACATCTGAAGCTAGCTTGGGAGGGACTTTTTGTCCTCGCTTCTGAGGGTGACCTCCCGGTGTAGGAGCAGAGCCAAGGTCTCCAGCACCCACTCTGGGGCCAGATCGCCTGGCGTCATAGCCCGGCTCCCCACTGACAGTGACACCTCATTTCTCTTTGCCCCATTTGCTCACGTGCAGTTGAGGGAATGGTACCTCCGTCCCAAGACCGTAGGACTGAAGAAGGATGAGGACCAGTGGACCGCTGACCCGGCCGCTGCAGGGTTTGCTGTTCCCGGTTTAAAGCCACGCATAGGGGCCAGCATTGGTGCTTTAGAGTTTTCTTACCATGACGCACCCCAGGAGGTGGGGCATTGCCGACCCTCTTATTTCTTTGTATATCTAACATTTATTGTTATGTAAAGTATTATACTAACTGTAGTGAGTGGCAACTTAATTTTTCTAGCTTGAAAACATCCTGGGCATTTTTCAGTTACAAACTATGCAGTCATTGTAGGGAAAAAAACCAAAACCCAATGCAGAAATACAGTAAAAAGTCAAAAGTTGCTCCTTCCTCTTCCTTTTCCTGACACCCACCTCCCCTTCATTCTCGCACTGACAATCTGACGCCCCCTTCCCAGGGGTGATGCTGAGTTTGTTGTGTACCCTTCTGGAAACAAATCTACCCATTTACAGCCATGTATATCATGCATATGAATATGTGACATACAGCTGATCCTTGAGCAACACGAGGGGGTAGGGTTGCAAGTCCGCATACTTTTGACTCGCCCCCCAACCAGACTGTGCTGATAGCATACTGTTGACCAGAAAAGCCTTACCAATAACATAAACAGTTGATTAACACACAATTTGCATGTTATGTGTATTATATACTATATTCTTGCAATAAAGTAAGCTGGAGGAAAGAAAATGTTAGGGAAGTCATAAGGAAGGGGCGCCTGGCTGGCTCAGTGGGTGGAGCATGGGACTTGATCTTGGAGTCGTGAGTTCAAGGCCCACATTGGGTGTAGAGATTAAGTAAATAAATCTTAAAAAAAAAAGCCGTAAGGAAAATACATTTACAGTACTGTACTGTTATTATAAAAAATCTACTTATGGGTGTATTTGCACAGTTCAAATTCATGTTGCTCAAGGGTCAAATGTAATTGCACTTTTTATTCTAAGTGGGATGTCATGACGTTTTTCATACATATTGTTCAAGAATCATTTTTCTTACAGTATTTTTTTATCTTGAGATATATACATGTTTGTGTGTACACACACACACACAGAATGCTACCAAGTGTTCCGTACCATCAGTGTTTCGTGACTTATTGAAAACTTTCCTTATTCATGGACCTATATGTCGTTCCACGTGTTCAACATTAAACAGTAAGAGTAAACCATGTCATGTTATTTTCTTCATGTGTGATCCCTTAGGTAGGAGAGACTGGATCCAATTACTATGGACTTGCAGCAGCCCCCATGGCCACCAGGGGGCCCCACTGCCCCCGCCTCTGTGAACAGTCGGGGGCCGGGGGTGGGGTGGGGGGGGAGATAGGAAGGAGTTGTGGCTGTGATTGACATCTCTCTCCAGGTCTTTCTTCTGCCTTTCAGTGAACTTGTTAGCCCCATATTTTGGCACACGGTCTCCCAGCTGGATACTTCATTCCTGTCCCCCTGGCAGGGGAATGGGGTGACATGATTGTATCAGACCTGTGGGCCTTAAGCCCAGCTGGGGTCTGCACCTCACAGGTCTTGCCCTAGGGAGCAGTCTCTATGTCTTCTCCACGACCGAGAATGGCAACAATCAGAACATCCTGGAAACCTTCTGTGGAGAATGGCAGGGTCAGTGCCAGCACGGTATCACTTACCCCCAGATGGTAACAGGAACTTGAAATCACTCTGTCTTCTCTAAACTGTCTGTGGGTTTTCTGTTACAGCACCTTGGCCCGCCTATAGCCTAACCAGCCCAGAAATGGGTTTGTCTGAAATATTCCGGAATGGAACCGATGGACAGATGGATTGACTTAAGGGATCAGGGAAATGGAGGACCAAGGACAATGACTCCTGGGATGAGTGGCAGAGAAAGGCATAGTGATAGCTTTTCAGGTGAACTTAGACTGAGCCACGGGCCTGGCTGTTGAGGAGCTCTTACTTCAGATAGGCAGGGGTTATGCGTGTCGTTTCTTCATGCCTTAGGAAAAATAAATTTTAGAATCGTTGCGTTAGACCACAGATATTATCCAGAGGGAAAAGGCATGGGTAACAGTAATCCCAGAATTTCCCAAGTGACCAGGTTTATTCTTAGTTCGAACTTAGAATGTGGAGCACGGGGCCAAGAATGAATAGGACATGCCTTGACTCAAGACAGATAATAAATCTGAATGTACGTTGAGTGTAGCCAGAGTTTGAGCGCTTAGGATGACTGGCACCCCTGCTTAGCTTTTCAGGAGACACAGATGAATAAGACCCAGGCCTATCCTTAGGGAAACTTTGGGCTCGTTAGTGGAGTGAGCTCAGTTTCCTCCCTCCCAGTGCTGACTTCTGATGCATCATCCATTTCAGTTGTCCTTTAGATACACAGCTTGTTTCCTTGTGCAGATAAACACTGTGTGTGTGCGCGCGCGCACGCGATTCAGACAATATATAATTAAATGAAGAAGTTGTTTGTACTAGGTAATGGACAAAACAAAACAAAAACTATTTGGCTGCAGGGCTTAAAGTAACTTACTTTGTTCCAATTGAGCCTTTCTCCCTAGATACAAGGCTGTTGCTAGGAAATCAGGCTGTGAAGTTTATTTAAGTAAAGCCCTTGGCATAGATTAGACACCAGATGGGCGACAGCAGTGCTGAGACGACACTGTGGTCACGTTGAGGTTGTTGGTGTGAATAACATGGAGGATATTTGGAGGAGGATATTTTGATAGAAGCTGACAGTCCAGTAACAGCAAATGGGTGGATGGGAACAAAGGACATGTCAATAGGGGCTAGACACCAGGGTGCCCGGGTGGCTCAGTTGGTTGAGCATCCAACTTCGGTTTAGGTCATGATTTTGTGGTTTTTGAGTTCAAGCCCTGCGTCGGGCTCTGTGCTGACAGCTCAGAGCCGGGAGCCTGCTTCTGATTCTGTGTCTCCCTCTCTCGCTGCCCCTCCCTGCTCACACTCTAGTCAGTCTCTCGCTCAAAAATAAGTGAACATTAAAAAAATTTTTTTTTTTTTTTTTTTTATAAAATTTTTTTTACATTTATTTCTAGGAGAGAGAGAGAGACAGTGTGAGGAGGGGAGGGTCTGAGAGAGAGGGAGACACAGACTCTGAAATAGGCTCCAGGCTCTGAGCTGGCAGTCAGCACAGAGCCCGACGCGGGGCTCGAACCCACGAATCGCGAGATCATGACCTAAGTGAAAGTCGGACGCTTAACCGACTAAGCCACCCAGGCGCCCCAAAAAATTTTTTTTACATAGGGGCTGGCCACTAAGTGTCCTCCCTGCCCAAGACTGAAGGCATCCACAGCTGCCTTTCCCAGATGGACACGCTTTGCTCTTAGTTCATAGCACCCTTATCTTCTCTTGTCTTGGTTTCCTTTGAAAACATTTTTGAAAGAAAAAAATCCACAATCTTGGCTTTATCAGTGCTCGGTTGTTTTGACACTCTAAGAATAAATTTAATGTTAGTTTGTCTGATGAGGTCTGTCCCTGGGTCATTTTCAACTTTCTTCCAAATTGAGTGTGTGTATAATCAGTCATGTAGATGACATTTTTTATTTTCAAAATAAAACATATTTTGGAATCCCATTCTATTAACTTATCCTGCAGACACATTTGCACATGCGCTTACTTTTTTGTAGCAATAAAACCATGAAACCAATTGTCTCTAAACTGGATTGGTTAAATAAATAAATTCACATAGGGGAATGGCAGAGAGCTGGACCAATACAGATGGAAAGATGGGCAAGAAAACTGTAAAAGTGTTCCTAATACACATGTGCAAGAAGAAATGGACAGGTACTTGTTCAACGTGACTAAAAATGCCTACCGCAGGCCAGCCTCGTGAGCTCACTGGATAAGCAGGAGAAGAGCTCTGCTAAAGCAGGAAGCGGGGCCGCCCAGCACCACCACTGCTTAGCTCTTTTCTTGTAGTCCTAGGCCAGAAATCGCCAGTGAAAAATTGGGAAAGGCATAAACATGATTTTCATAC